TTATCGGGCCATGGGTGCTTTGAGGCATATTTTTATCGTTTCAAATTAACGAACACAACACGATGCTACTACTGTGACCACGTGGATGATGCAGAGCACACTTTTTTTGGGTGCCGGCAGTGCAGCGACGAAAGATGGGCTCTTGAGCATGTGGTGGGGGAGAGACTGACAACGGCCAGCATTGTCCCTCGTATGCTTGAATCTGAAGTGGTCTGGAGTGCCGTATGTGACACGGCTGCGAGAATTATAAGGGCCAAAGAAGGGCAGAGAAAATCTCTGCAATAATCAGGAGAGATAAGGGTTATTCTTTAACGGAAAAGGACAATGCTGAGGTTGCTGAAGTAATACCGAATAGGTGGTTCCATCACTCTTCTATCAGCAGCTGGTCTTCGCAAGGTTTTTTTTAGTGGGTAAAAATCCCACACTACCTGAACCTAACAATGCACAGGTGTCTTTTGAAGATTTTTTCTCCTTGCAAAAAAAAAAATAACTCAAGAAAGGGGGATACACAATATATCTGTAAAGTCGCGGTGATTAACAAGTGATTAACTTCTCACCTCTCATACAGTCTACAATTTACAACTATCCGAAACGTTGTAGATGTAGAGAAATAATATTTACATATTTTTTACCAACAATCAAACTGACATTTTAAATGTATATAATTCATTTAAAAAATGAAAGAAACTAGAATATCAGAGAGACATAATATCATTGAAATTAGTTAGCGCAAAATGTTCAAGAATATTTACTGCACCAATAAACAACATACGAAACAACACGAAATGCTTTTATCTAATGGCACGAGAGAGAGATAACCTTCCGTTTATTTTTATTATGTTTGTGTCATTTTTATTTTTAAGACGTGTACGTGTCTACTTACCATTTCTGTCCGCAATATTTTCCTCGATGTTCGTTTATTTAACGATCGTTGTTAATTGGGAACGAGATTGTTTCAATTTACAATAAACCAGTTTGTAATTTTATCATTGGAAAATAAAATGATGCGAGTATATAAAATATCAATTAATACCACAAATAATACCACCGTTTGATTTGCATCACCTGAAAGACGTACAAAATAAATATTTAGGTTGCAATCGAAAATTTCATGATGCAGGATTGCAGATGTGAGGGAGGTTCATCAACGCGACCTTATAGATGGATAAGAAAGGATAAGACTCTTAAGAAAGGGGGACACATCTTTCCAGAGAGTCCATTTCATTAGTCCGAAAAAGTAGCAAAATAAGCGTTCGACATTTAACGTTTTATGTAAAACTGGCTAGGTATTTTTACACAAATTAAAAAGGAAATTAAAGATAAAGGATTATACTATATCCGTATTGTAAGACATATTTTAGACAACTTCTTTATTTTTAAGATTTTGATTGTCAAACATCAACAGAATATTCCTTATATTTGGACTGAATTTTCTCGAAAATAAAGACATATTTAAAGTTCCGTTACAATACGGAAATCGATTGAAGTTTTATAGCCTTTGTTGAAGAACTTGGTTTCATATTTACTGCTTATGGCATTTATCTAAAAGATACAGTATACATTTAAGATTTTTTTTTGTTTTTGTGGAAGTTCTGGGATGAATGAGAAACTTAGTGCTATCTTGACAAGATTCATCCAAAAAAACTTTGTGATAAATATGTACAGGGTGGGTCAAATTCGACGGTTTTAAATGGAAACACCCTTTTCTATAGGAGATAGGCGAAAACTAATATCGGTGTCTAGAGCTCAATTTTTATCAAAAACATGATGGTGAAAACCCCACATCAATATCTGTTACCGTTTCGGAGTTACGGGGTGTTTTTCAAAAATGTGCATTTTTAACAAATCGCTGTAACTTTTTTGCTATGGAAAATTTTGTATTTCCATGAAAACATTTCCAAAGCACCTTTTTACGTAGAATTTAATGGTTTAAGTATAATTTTTTTTAAATTAATAATTTAAGAGTTATCAACAGAAAAATTATTTTTTTATTTGGGACCCCCTCTATATTTTTAATTAGCTAAAAAGAATTTAAAATTACCTTTCCAAAAATATAGCACACTTGATATTTTGTTATAATCCCCTTCGAAATACAGAATTTTTAAAAGTTCGCCACTTTTAACTAGTAGGCTTTGGACCCCTTATTGATGATATTCCCTTAATGGAACTGGAAAACATATTTTTCCAGCAAGACGACGCACCGTCTCTAAACGCTGAAGTTATCAGCAAATTTTTGCAGCCGATTTCAAGAATATTTGAATAGCTAACCGAGATCCCAGCCGTTGGCCATCGAGACCGCCTGACTTAGTGCCCATGGATCTAATCCTATGGATATATTTGCGGAAGAATAAAGGTTCCTTATTCTTCCGTATAATCTAGACAAGGATTAGAAATACTTAGCAGTTATGAGAGGATATCTTTCACCCCCACTGAGTTAATGAATTCAGCGAGAAATGTTCAAAAACTGCCCCGTTTGTCCATAAAAGAAGACGGTCGATATGTCGAACACTTGTAGCAAAATCTCATGTCTTAGTTTGCTATTTATTTTTATTGTTATTAGATATAGTTTAAATGTGTTGATGTTGGTTAAATATATTTTATATTGTTATAAAATTCTTCATCTCTCATAGCAAATATTATTTTCGTTTTAATTGATGCTCACAGCTAGAATTTTTTTGCATTACAGCCGGTACCTTTCAAAGCCTACTTATTTAAAGCGGGCGAATTTTTATATATTCTATATATCTCGAAGAGGAATCGAGCAAAATATCAAGTGTGTTATATTTTTGGAAAGGTAATTTTAAATTATTTTCAATAAATTAAAAATATACAGGGTGTCCCATATAAAGAATCAAATTTTCTGTTGAAAATTCTTAAATTATTAATTTTAAAAAAATTATACTTAAACCATTAAATTCTACGTAAAAAGGTGCTTTGGAAATGTTTTCATAAAAATACAAAATTTTCCATAGCAAAAAAGTTACCCGTAACTCCGAAACGATAACAGATATCGATATGCGGTTTTCACCATCATGTTTTTTACAAAAATTGAGCTCCAGACACCGATATTAGTTTTTGTCTATATCCTATAGAAAAGGGTGTTTCCATTTAAAAGCGTCGAATTTGACCCACCCTGTACATAGGATTGGTTTTTGGACCCTCTCGTCTGTTGAAGGAGTTCAATTTGACTAACAATCACTTACCGACATACAGATACTATGTTGCGTTTTATGGATTGAAACCATAAGAAGCGTCCAATCGAACATATTATTTTTGTTTGTAGAGTTTCAATTTGATCATTTCCTGACTGAAAAGTCTCCTGTAATCATATACAGGGTGGTCCCCTAACTGTATTCAGGAAACTTCAGGGAGCATATTCTGCAGATAAAGAAGTAAAAACTTCTTATAAATATAGCGTCTGTCGATGCTTAGTTTCGGAGATATAGGGTGTAGAAGTTTCATTCGAGATTTCGATTTTTCCAAATAATTTCTGAAGTAGTAAATATTTGGATGAAAATTGGTGTCTAATAGTTTTTTGACATGAGAAATTTGATTTTGATGTCATTATGACTTCCTATTTGCAGAGGGGCGCCCCCTACAGGTGATTTAATCTGTTTTGAAGAGTGGGTCACTTTTGTCCGTACCTGTATAGAGTTGCTGAGTTAAAAAAAATATACATTTTCGTATTTTTTTTACGTAAAATGTCTTGGTAAAAATCGTTACGAGCAACCCTTCTCGAGATATTTAGAATGGGAATAGTCAATACATGTCATTATTGACAAAAAATAAACATGTTGAGTAGATAGTTATTGGACTAAAAAGATAAATTTGGAAAATTTTTATATTTTTAAATTAATCATAAAATTTTCTTCGAAAAGATGATGATTGGTGATGATCTGGCACAAAAACATTTCAAATTTATGATTTTCGTCTACTAACTATGTAGTCAACATGTTTAATTTATGTCAATGATGACAGGTATTGATAATTTCGATTTCAAATATCTCGAGAACTATTACTCATAGCGATTTTTATTAAGAGATCTTTTTTACATTAAAAACGTCGTAAATGTATATTTTTTTACTTAGTTAATTTATACAGGTACGGACGAAAAGTTATTACTCTTCAAATCAATTAAAAATATGTAGGTGGCGCCCTCTACAAGTAGGAGCCATATTAACATCAAAATCGAATTTCTCATATCAAAAAACTCCCAGACACTAAATTTCATCCAAATACTGATGTTACTTCAGAAATTATTTGGAAAAAATCGAAATAAAAATGAAACTTCTACACCCTGTATCTCCGAAACTAAGCATTTTAGGACATAAACTTATAAGAACTTTTTTACTTATTTTTATCTGGAGAATATGCTGCTGAAGTTTCCGGAATACAGTTCGGACCACACTGTATATGCAATCAAATTCATAAATATACTCGTCAAAATAAGGGACAATTATACTTTTTATGAAATGATTATGAATTTTTAACCTTTTCAATAATTACATTGGACTGATTCAAGTGACAATCTTATGTATTCTACAGATACAAGGATACTTCGAACTTAATGTTTTTATGATAAATGTCTATAATAATACGTTATCCACTGTTCAGTTGGCAAAGAATCGTTTCTTTCGCATGAGATATCTCATACTTAGTAAAATTTTATTTATTCTTTGAATGGCAAGATTAAAGAGGTCGAGTTCAAACCTCGATTTTAATTTATATATTTCGAAAATTAATAAAATGACATGATACCTTTAACTGTCTTAATTTTCAAAAAACTTAAGTAAACAGATTAATATTAAAAACATTAATATTAAACATTATAATAACAAATATTTATTTAGTTTTTTTTTGCTGAAACATAGACAATCAATCAAATGGTGAAAAATATGTTACTATTCAATGAATAGTAACCGACTGTTTACATGACCGGCAAATTTCCCATTAAAGGTCAGGTGCGATTGAATTTTAATTTGCTGTCTTTATTGTTTCAGATGAACAGGAGAGGGTGCAGAAAAAGACGTTTGTCAATTGGATAAATTCCTATCTAGCTAAGGTAAGGCACCATTTATTTTATGCATTGTATGATTTAAACGGAACTAAGGTTTGAATTGGAGAAATATATTTTCAAAGTCAAATTCGGATTCCAATTGTCACTTCTTTTCACTAGTGAAATAACAAAGTGGGTTTCTATTTGAAAAAAATGATATATGATAATTTTTTAATCGCTCAATTCCATGATAGCTACGGTCAATATTATTATATGACAATTGAACAATTTAATTTTTGAATAGATAGCCACAAGTCTTTTCTTTATCTATATCACAGTGGCTACAGTAATCACTAAATTTGACATTTACCACAACAAATTTTCTTGACAGGCAGATTTTATCCTCTAAAAATTTTAAATATGTTTTTTTCCGAGGGGTAAACAGCTGACCCAAATTCTGTACACTAAACCACCTAATAGCTAAAGAATTCCTGAGTACCTCCTGGGAAATCCCATATATATATTTTTTTGGGAATTCCTGATACTATTGAGCATACGAAATTTGTAATTAGTTTCAAACTTTACAGAAAGTTGAAAAAAGTATCCAAAATCGACTCGATAAAGAAAAGTTTGGTTTGGTTTGGTTTAGTTTGCTCATTAGTTTGGTCGATCCTATTCTTAAATCATCTATCTCTTCCTCTTGATTTTCAAAAATACTTTCTTCGGCTATTTGCAAGTCATCAATGACAGATTCGTTTTCATCACTTACTGCAGATTGTTCTTCTGAATTTTTTGGTATAGTGGTGGAGTTCCATGAAAAATTTTCAACTTGCTTTCCCAGCTTTTCAGTTACAGCAAGTGCTTCCTGCAAAGAGACCATCACAATATTCTCAATGTATTGATCAGTAAATACATTTTCAATATCTTTCACCTCATTATTTGCACTCTGCGCTTCAATTTGTGCATCGTTTTGGCCCTTAGAACGAACTCTTTCAAATCTTTTCTGCTCTCTTGGGAAACGTATTATAGCTCTTAAATCATGGGTAATATTATTAATCGATCTAATTCTGTCCAATCGTTGCAGTATGTCTTTAATACTATAATTTACTACCGTAGATTGCGTTGTTGTCATGGACCTTGTGGCTCGGAATATTTTCTCACAGCTTTGACTGCTAAAAAGCAAAGGAAGGAACATATCCTCTGTGAGGTTTGGATTTTCTCGAAAATGTATAATTAAATTAATCAGAGCATGAGCGTTCAACTCGATGCATGTGTAACAGTTACTTGAAATAAAATGTTCTCCAATTTTCTTATTATTCATCATTAGCCATTTACGCCAAATACGTAAACAAAACACACAGTACCATAAATTAGATAACCTTCTTTTTAAATCCAAATTTTCTTCCAAATAGGAACATATAGCTAAGTTCATAATTCTTAAGTTTATTGTTATTTTATTTATTCCTTGGTTCCTGCACCCTCAGCAACAGTATTAAATAATTCAAGGACTTCAATGGAACATATTTTTTGAGCTGCCTTAAAATTCATTTTATCTTCCAATTTTAAATCAGTCCTAGTCCGTAGCAGTTCAGTCGAGAGTTCAGTGTTATTTTGCTTTCAGATAATAAGCTGCTTAATTTATGTGTTTTTGTATAAAAAAAACAATCCACCAAATATTGTAATCATCGCCAAACTAATTCAAACAGAAACAAAAGCGCGGGAACCATTACGACGTCACTGGATATTAATGGCATCTGTTATATGTCATTATTATTAAAGAAATGTCTGTCAACTTTGATTTTAGAACCCAACGACGCGACGTCATCAAATAATGACAGGAAAACGACGCGTTTGCAGTAAAAACATGCATTTTTTAATCGCTTATCTTTTCGATAGATTTTTCTTTTTAATTTCTTCTTGTCTGTGGGGCTTTTATAATTAATTGTTTGTAAGCTTCATTCAGAACCTCGCAATTAGTGGAATAAATTAGTAGTTTCAATTAGCGTAGAAGTTTATTACTTTAATTTGAACCTTTTCAATTAGAAGGAAAAATTATCAAACTTTTAACTTTTCCACTAATTATACTTCAAAATTTGCGAGAAATGTCATTTTGGTCTTTCATAATCTTCCGTCATGCGTCAAGAGAAATTGTTGTTAGAAATCAAAAGTTGATTGTTTTATAAGCTAAATATTAGGCTTTCTCTATGGATACAACTGACTAAGCAATACAAGTGCAACTGCAACTGGCAGGATACAACTGCAACTGGCAAGCTCTGTTGCTAGGACACTCCAATAATTTTAATTGTGTTTTAAACATTGTGAATGATCGTAAACTAAAAAGTATAAAGTGTAATTGAAACCACTATTTATTCCACCAATTGCGAGGCTCTGTAAGGAATGAAGCTGTAAGTGTTTTAATTCAAATTTATTTGTTATGCACTGAGTCTGTTGTGTGATTTTAATCAAAACGAGGTCAATATTCGTGATTTGATGCGTATTTTTTTGAGCTATCTCATCGTAGATCTCCTCCATACCTTCTGGAATTCCATCATAAATCCTGGGAAATCCTGTATACTTCCTGAGAAATCCTGTATACCTCCTGGGAAATCCTATATACTTCCTGGTACTTCCTAGAAATTCCCGCGTACTTCCTTTCGAATGTACACTTACCTCCTGCAGCTGTTCACCCCTCGTTTTTTTCTCAAAAACGGTTAATCTTAGAGAGTGTTTGATATCAAAATTTATAACATTTTACAGAGAATTTAAATATGTAGTATACACATTAATTAAATTATAGGGATTCTCATTTAAAATAAGAAAATTCTTGTCAATTTTCGGTATATCCGGAAGTGTCGCCATATTGAAAATATTGTTAGTCCACGTTATCTCGTTGTAAAACTATGATGTGCAAAAAATATCCGATCTAAATATTGTGGTTTTCTAAAAATTTCTAATGCACACTTAGCCTGGGCCGCGGTGTATGTTCCACCGCTAATTAATAGGTTTGTCATCACTTTGGCTTTTGAGATGTTGATTTTTAATCCCATTTGTTCAGAGGTTGCATTCAATTTTTTTGAGGACTTATTTATGCAGTATCCAGGAAAAAATCTGCAACCTGACCGTATGCGGTACTGTCGGGGTGGTTGAGGTACCTTCTTCTTCTCAATTGCTCGTATCGTTGTTCTCCATCCCTCTCTATCTTGAGCGGCTATAGAAACCTCTTGCAGACCGTGACCAATAGGTAATTCCTTTGTTTTGGTCCACCCAGCGCGTCGGAGATCTTCCTCTTGGTCGTTTGCCATTAATCTTCTGAGGTACCTTACCGACTCAAAAACCTCCACAAACCGCTTTGAGTATCTCGAGGAACTTACTTTCGGCATTACTTCTCGAGGCGGTTCTACTGTGATGTTTAGTTACTTCTAGCTTCTTTCTCTTTTATATCTATTAGTGTCTCCATAAAAGTATGAACACCATTCCAATTTTCTAGAGATCGAATCATCTCTGGAACTAGATCGGAAATCTTAATTTTATCGACTCTTAGTTTTTGTATAGCACTCTTCGTTCAGCTGTCCATCGGTTACATTCCAAAAGGTATCAGCATTGGAGTCGCCAGGTAATACCTGAAACAACCGTGGCCAGGAAGAAATTGACTCATGGCATAGCTCAGTTCTTCATATTCTCTATTTATCCAACACTCTAGGTCCTTTATAAGTGTTCTAGTCCATTTGCCTTTCCCATTTCTGTTTTTACTCCATCTTTTACACCATATTTCCAAAACTCTATTTCTACTTTGTTCCGCTGTTCTTCCTGAATGTTCTTGCCTGTCCATTCTTTCTTCAATTACTATATCTATTGGGGCCATTGAGCAAATTGCAGGTGGTTCAGGGTTCAAGTTTTCACCATTTTATATTTATACCTAATTTCTTCCAATCTATATCTTTGAATATACTGGGGGTACCTCAAAAGTGGCTCACCCCCTATAACTTTTTTATTTTTTCAGATAAATAAACAAGATTTCGTACGTTAGTATATGACATATATCAGGAATCATTGATATATTCCTCGATATATATAATTCTTTTCGGTCACAATGTCAAAAGTTGACCTATTATGATACATCATTCTATTTCTATTCAGAGAGTCATTTTCTATCGAATAAAGTAAAAAATATCTAGAGAATCATTTAAAAATGAAAAATTGTAATCATTTCCAGTGAAACTTTAGTTTCGGAAGTGACCAAAAACAATAATTGAATACATCAATAAATCCTCATTTATGTTATACCGGGTGAGTCTCAAAAGTGGCTCACCCCTATAACTTTTTTATTTTTTTAGTTAAAAAACGAGATTTGGTATGTTAGTATATAACATAAATTAGGATTGATTAACGTATTCAATTGTTTTCGGTCACTTCCGGTTTCACCAGAACTGACTACAATTTTTGATTTTTAAATGACACTCTATTCGATAGAAAATGTCACTCTGAATAGAATGACATATCATATGTTAACTTTTGACATTTTCGCATATGGTTTATTTCAAATTATAACTTGCGGTTCGTAACGAAAATTTGACTCGAAATACCAAGTGTGTGGTATCAAATTATTTGTAAAAAAATGCTCTTTCCAAATATGCTAATGAGCCACCCTCGTTCCATTTGAAAAAATTGAAAAATGATTAAAAATACGATTTGAGCATTTTCTCACTGGCCAGGACAAGACACTAAAAACATTAGACGATCAAATCTATTTTTCCAAGGCTCCTTGATGAAGAATTAGTGTTATTAACGTAGCCATGGCTCTCTAGATTCAATTTTAAAACACAATTTTTTATTAAGCGAGAATGTCAAAAGTTGACATATGTCATTCTATTCAGAATATCATTTTCTATCAAGTAAAGTAAAAAAATACCGGGGGTGCCATTTAAAAATCAAAAGTTGTAGTCATTTCCGGTGAAAAAGGAAGTGACCAAAAACATTTGAATACACCAATCAATCCCAATTTATGTCATATACTAACATACCAAATCTCGTTTTTTTGTCTGAAAAGATAAAAAAGTTATAGGGGGTGAGCCACTTTTGAGACGCACCCGGTATACCAAATCTCGTTTTTTTATCTGAAAAAATAAAAAAGTTATAGAGATGAGCCACTTTTGAGACACAGGCGTTATATTGAAGCAATATCTAATCCATTCCATCAATTTTTGAAATTATCGATTTAATTTAATTTAAAGTTTATTTTCTTCATTTTTAATTAATAATTTTGTTAAAACTCTATGAATGATTCCGTATTTACTCCACCTTCTACGCCCTTCGCCCTTTTCCACGATAGCTAATAAACGAGATGGCCCGATGGCATTTCCCCCGTTCGTTGTTGGAGCATGGTACAGTCGTCGTTCATTTACCTCAATACTATCGGATGCCGTGATCGGAGTCTCAAATTTGAATATACCGCGTGGAAATTGAAAATCGGACAATTTGGTGAAGGAATCTTATAAATAGTTAGTTTGTTGTGTGTTATAAGTTAGTAATTGTGTATAAAGTGAGAAAATAAATTCGTTAAGTATTTTATCGTGAGTTTAAATAGTGGACCCACGGAATCCGTAACACTATGTTATAGGGCTTGTTTTTCTCTACAATTTCCTGTCTCACAATGTACCGTTTGTGTCGGGGAAGGGATCATAGTTTCATAGTTGTCAATTTTCGAAAGAAATCAGTACATGTATATTATTTCGTATATTTTTCATTTTATTGATTTTATGAAAAGCACTGTTTATCAAAATATTGTATCATATGTTATAGGGCTTGTTTCTCTCTACAGTTTTCTGTCTCACAATGTACCGTTTGTGTCGGGGAAGGGATCATAGTTTCATAGTTGTCGATTTTCGAAAGAAATCAGTACATGTATATTATTTCGTATATTTGTCATTTTATTGATTTTATGGAAAGCACTGTTCATTGAAAGTTTACTATTTTTTTTGTAATTTAAAAAATATTCGATAATTACGATCGATACTTCCTAAGAATCAAATCATCAATATTATAAAGACTATTTTGTGATCGATAAGAATAATCAAAATGGCGTGATATCTTGGCAGGAAAAATGCTACATTATATTTAATTATTTCTCTGAAAATATACTCATAATATGTAAAAATAAAACGAGGTATTTATGTACTTTTGCATAATTTATGGCGTGCTGAGTATAATGTTTTATGTGAGATTTTTTGATTTGTTATTGTTCTCGTTTTCAAATCGTTTTAGCAAAACATCTAATCATGAAGTTAAATAGAATTAGTTCCAAGTTATAAAACAAGGTACTTAATCTTAATTACAAATTGTAATTGTTTTCATAGTAACGAAAAATGTCTTAAGTTTCCTTTACAAATTATATTGTGTTGGATCACATTCAACTACTATTTTTCAACTGTTATGGTCCATATGCAGTGCATTTATTATAACTCTTATATTTATTTGACAGGAACCTCGACAAGAACAATAGGGTTTACATCTTTTATGTTGGCCTCTATTCAGGGCCTATTATGTTTCATATCTCCGTTATCTTATAACTTGTAAAGTTGTTTTTACACCAATGAAGAAGGAAATTAAAGATAAAGGATTATACTATATCCGTATTGTAGCACATTTTAGACAACTTCTTTATTTTTAAGTTTTTAGATGGCCAAACATCAACAAAATATTCCTTATGTTTGGACTAAATTTTCTCGAAAATAAAGACCGTATTTAAAATTCCGTTACAATAACGAAATAGATTAAAGTTTTGTGATTACAATGATATATAATTTATTTGATTTTGTAACAAATTGCTCGCTATTTTATGGCAAATGCTGAAGCTCTGCAAACCTGATTCAAGTCTTAATCAAAGCAAGTGTGTTTGGAATTTTAGGTGTGGCTTAACACGACAGGATTGGGCAGGAAGTCTTAGGCAGATTTCTGAAATATAATATATATTTCCTTCGAAATATAATATATATTTCCTTCGGCTACACACCCTCTTTAACCGACCCCTGAGAGCGATCCGAACAGTACAGCGTAATAGACTCTTAAGAATTTTTTTATTGAGTAAAAATGATTTTTAAGTGGTATAGTTTAAAATTCGAGAATTGTCATTCCCCAGCCGTCTTTAACGCTGTTTTTACTCGATCATTTGGTATAAGTTTTTATTTTATAATTGAATGCCAATGTTACAATCCATTGTTAAATAGATTGTAACATTGAAATAAAAAAAAAACAATATTCTATATACAGGGTTGTTCACCACATACGACACGGAGTATTGTAGCTAAACGAATAGATTTTTACAAATTGTAAGTTTTGTGTTCGTTGAAGGAATATTAGAGCTACAATTTAAAAATATTTTTACAAGCTACAGAGTGTCCCAAATAAAATTTCCGTTTAACACCCTGTATATTATTACATTTTTAGTTTCTACGATTAAAATAAAGGTAAATTTGATTAAGGTTTATTACACTTAAACCTTACCGTTTTTGAAATATTTTCAATTTTGTGAAATTGCAGTAAAAATTTTAAGGCTTCATTTCTCCAAGGTTATCAAAGTTTTTAATACTAAATATTTAGTGAAGTTTATTTATTGATCAGTTATTGTGTTGAAATAATAAAAACTATACTACCTTATACAGAGTGTCTAAAAATTTATTTTAAATAATTACTAGTTTTAAACAGCAATAACTTGTTTCATTTAAATGGAACACCCTATATATTTTATGAGAATCAGATGCACAATTTAATTGTCTGTCAAACTGTATCATACCATTTTTTACATAACTCTTCAAGTTTCCGTCGAAAATGCATTTTCTTGTAATTTAGAACTCATTTATCAATATACCCATAGAATAATGTCATTTTAGATCATTTTTAAAGATGTACCATATTTTTAAAGAGTACAGATACTAATATTGTCGACATAGATCGTTTATTTCATTAAAAAATAAAAAAATCTTTTTTAAAAAAAATTAAATACTTATTTGTTAAAGAGGACCAATTAATATGATTCCAGTATTCAAACTACATTAATTGACTGTTTGCTTTGATTAATATACCCATGGAATAATGTCATTTTAGATCATTTTTAAAGATGTACCATATTTTTAAAGAGTACAGATACTAATATTGTCGACATAGATTGTTTATTTCATTAAAAAATAAAAAAAAATCTTTTTTAAAAAAAAATAAATATTTGTTAAAGAGGACCAATTAATATCATTCCAGTATTCAAACTACATTAATTGACTGTTTGCTTTGATTAATAATAATTGCTCCAAATATTAAAAAACTGAATTTTGTATGTGTATTAGACAGTGTGGTAAAAAGTAGCACCTTAAAAATTATATTTGATTTTTTGACAAATGCTTATTTATAACAACAGAGACATTCATTTTCATAACTTATTATTATATTGAATTCTGATTCAAATCCACATTTATTTAGAATAATTTATTAACGAACACAGTTAAGTATTAATTAATTAGTATTTGGGCGGAAATAATGGTAGTATATTTAATTAATGGTATACTCTTTTGTAAAGATTTATATAGTTTTCTTTTTGCATACAAATGGACTAGTAATATTATCGTTTTGCTAAAAACAATCTAAAATGTCAATATTCCACGGGTATATTGATAAATGAGGTCCAAATTATAAGAAAATGCGTTTTCTACGAAAACTTGAAGGGATAGGTAAAAAGTGGTATAATACAATTTGATACACAATTAAATTGTGCATCTAATTCTCCTAAAATATACAGGGCGTTTCATTTAAATTAAACAAGTTAGTTCCGTTTAAAGCTAGAAATTATTTAAAATAAATTTTGAGACACTCTGTATGAGGTAGACTCTTAGTAGATTTTTATTATTGCAACACAATAACTGATCAATAAATAAACTTCAGTAAATATTTAGTATTAGAAACTTTGATACCCTTGGAGAAATGAAGCCTTAAAATGTTGACTGCAATTTCACAAAATTGAAAATATTTCAAAAACGGTAAGGTTTAAGTGTAATAAACCTTTATCAAATTTACCTTTATTTTAATCGTAGAAAGTAAAAATATAATAATATACAGGGTGTTCCATTTAAAAAAATACAACTTGATATTTTTTATTTATTTGGGACACTCTGTATCTTGTAAAAATATTTTTAAATTGTAGCTCTAATAATCCTTCAACGAACCCAAAACTTAGAATTTGTAAAAAATCTAATAATTTAGCTACAATACTCCGTGTCGTATGTGGTGAACAACCCTGTATAATTAGGTGTTATTACACTAGATCTTATATTTTTAGTTACTGTCTTATTACTACTTTAATTGTTACTATTAATGTTTTTTTTTATTTTCAGCGAGTTCCTCCTTTGAAAATTGAGGACTTGATAGAAGATTTAAAAGATGGAACTAGACTGTTGGCACTTTTGGAAGTTTTGTCTGGAGAAAGACTGGTAAGACCTAACTATATCATCCTTTTCCTCACCAATAATATGATGATTTTGCTTTCATAGCCCGTGGAGAGGGGTCGAGTCCTTCGCAGACCGCACTTCCTGAGCAACGCCAATACGGCTCTGCGCTTCCTGCAAGGGAAACGCATTAAATTAGTGAACATCAACGCCAGCGACTTGGTGGACGGGAGACCACCGGTAGTCCTGGGACTGATTTGGACCATCATCTTGTATTTCCAGGTAAAAACCCATTGAGAGTAATGTCTTTATGTATTTGCACTTCTGACTGTTCTAAAATTCTGAAATGCTAAAATCGATGCATCGGAACCTTTAAACGCAAATATCTTGAAAATCGTTCACCTTCTCGAACTAAACGAAGAGCACCTTTTTGCATAAAAAAGTCCTAGCTTTAATTTTCAATTACTGAAATTACTGTATCGATAAGGATAAAAGAAGCCACAAGTAGTACTCTATACCCTCTTTTTTTTCCACAATAAGGGGCCGTCCTCTGCCGGAAACACTGCGACCTGTGAGGCCTATTGTGTTTGTCCCCTTTTTATATCTGCACCCATTCTCCTATCCCTGTGCCCTGCACTAACTTATGTAGGTTCTTGATAGGATGGGAGCATAGTTCCTCCGGTTCTAGCCTAGCTTTCCCAAATAAAAAGTGTCGCTTGCGATCCAGAGCCTCGCAGTGACATATTATGTGCTCCGCTGTTTCAGGATCTTTATCGCACAGTCTGCAGCAAAGACTTCCTTGATACAGATTGAGCTTTTTCAGATAACACTTGACTGCCATATGTCCTGTCAAGAGGCCTGTTGTAATCCGCAATTTATTCCTGCTAAGCATTAGCAGTTCTTTTGCGGTTTTGGAGCTAGGTCCTTGGATAAAAGCCTTGCTGTGCCTGTGCCCCTGTCTGTTTCTCCAGTGGACATTCTGCTTTTCCCTGATCCAGAGTTTTAATGCACTACGGGCCATACATTTGGGTATTCCCAGTACTGGCTCTGGACCAAGATAAGATGCCGATGATCCTTGCCTGGCTAGCTCATCGGCTTTTTCGTTGCCTTGGATGCCGCTGTGGCCCGGCACCCAGAATAATTTAATTCTGTTCCGTCGAGCCAGAGCTTCCAGTTCACCTAGGCATTCCCAGACGAGTCTCGACGATACCTTTGGGCTCATAAGCGCCCCAAGTGCCGCCTGACTGTCTGAGCATATATTGATGAGCTTATCTGAATAAGCTCTTCTATTGTTTTCTCTCGCACATTGTAGAATGGCGAAGATTTCTGTCTGGAATACGGTTGAGTGTTTACCCAAGGAAAAGGATAAACTTACCCTTGGTCTTTCCCCAAATACTCCAGCTCCTGTTCCTTCAGCGGTCTTTGACCCGTTTGTATACCAGGTTAGTCCATCCTGAAGGAATGTTATATCTGTCCAAATTCCTCGATCCATTTTGTTCACCTCGAATGGTTTGTGGTAGTGATAAAGAGGGGTCATCTGGTCCGATCTCATTTGGAGTAGAGGTCCCCCGATAGGATTTCCCATCTTTGAGTGCCCTGTTTCTGTCCTATTTCCCAGAGACAAGACACTTTGTTGTCGATAGAGTCCCATTCTTGCCTCCACCTGGATCACCATGTGAAGAGGCGGAAGGTCCAGAAGCGCCTCCATTGATGCAGTGGGCGTTGATTTCATCGCCCCTGTTATGCTCAGACAAGCAAGTCGTTGCACCTTGCTGAGGCTGAGCATTGTTGTTTGTTGCATTACCTTAGGCCACCATACCAAGGATGCATATGTTACTGAAGGTCTCACCACTCCAGTGTACAGCCAGTGCACCATCTGTGGTCTAAGGCCCCAGATTTTTCCATGAAGGCGGCTGACTACCGCTAGTGTAGTCACCGCCCTCCTTGTGACATTTTCCAAATGTCGGTTCCAGGTCAGTTTGGTATCCTATACCCTCTTGGAAAGTGTCCTGTTACGTAATTTTACACTATCGCCATTCGCTTTGGCTTTAAAATGTGTGTAAGAGTACCAAATTTCAAGAAAAACAGTTAACCAATGTTCTTAAAAATAAACAAAATATATTATTTTTAATTAATCTCGTCGAGGGCTGTAATTTCTTCGGGATTTTAGGGCATATGTTCATAGGAACTTTTTGTATTATTATCTGTAGAATCACCCGCGCAGAAGTTAGATAGGTACACTATTTTTTTGACGCCCTGTATTATACCGAGTGCGTCTCAAAAGTGGCTCACCCCCTATAATTTTTTTATTTTTTCAGATAAAAAAACGAGATTTGGTATATTAGTATATGACTTAAATTAGGACTGATTGACGTATTTAATTGTTTTCGGTCACTTCCTGTTTTACCGGAAATTACTACAACTTTTGATTTTTAAATGACACCCTCGGTATTTTTTTACTCTATTCGATAGAAAATGATACTCTGAATCGAATCACATATCATATGTCAACTTTTGACATATTCGTTCAAAAACAAATTGTATTTTAAATTTCAATTTAGAGTGCTCATTTTTAATCAAGGAGCCTTGGAAAAATATATTTGATCGTCTAATGTTTTTAGTGTCTTGTACTGGCCGGTTAAAAGATGCCCAAATCGTATTTTTAATCATATCTCAATTTTTTTAAATAGAACGAGGGTGGCTCATTAGCATATTTTGAAAAAGGATTTTTTTTTCGAATAATTTGATACCACACACTTGGTATTTCGAGTCAAATTGTCGTTATGAACTGTATGTTACAATTACAAATAAACCATATTCGAAAATATCAAAAGTTGACATACGATATGTCATTCTATTCAGAGGGTCATTTTCTATCGAATAAAATAAAAAAATACCGATTGTGCCATTTAAAAATCAAAAGTAGTAGTTATTTCCGGTGAAACCGGAAGTGACTGAAAACAATTGAATATGTCAACCAATCCTAATTTATGTCATATACTAACATACGAAATTTCGTTTTTTTATCTGAAAAAGTAAAGAAGTTATAGGGGTGAGCCACTTTTGAAACGTAATTCAATTTATTTTGTAACAACAAACTGTTTGTTAACTTTAAGTTTTAACTTTTTTAAAGAAGTTTAAACTAATTTAAGTTGAATAAAGTGGAGGGATATTATTGTTCAGAAGGTTATATTATATGTTAAACTATTAAAGTTTCCATAAACGTTTAGTTTCATTGCTTTTGTTGTGTAGAGCTTATCATTTGATACTAAATAGTAACTTTATTGCTATGCACATAAAATATTAATGGTTGCTTTTAAAAAGCTGCGAAAGGAGTGGTTTTACTACTGGGTAAGTGGAAATCACTAGCTTATTGAAATGAAATGGAAAAACAGAAATGCTTTTATACAAACTTTTAGGTAGTTCTTAGTAGAACAATTTTAACTCAAGCCTTGTGATCTTGCGTGTTATGTTAGTTTTTATATAACTTAATTTTATTATAGATTGAAGAAAACAGTAGAGCCTTAGAATACCTAGCTCAATGGGGTAGTTCCAGCAGTTTGGAGAGTGCTGGAACCACTTCATCGAGGGACAAATGGAAGCAAGGTGCTAGGAAGACACTTTTGAATTGGGTGTCCAACGCATTACCAGATGACTCAGGTATGGTACTATTAGTATTTTTTTGGCTGTTAGTTTAGCTGTCAGAGAGAGGTCATCTAAAAAATATAAAAATTTGAATAGTTGCTAAAATATCAGACAAATTACTGTCATTAGATAATTTTTTTTATTTCTTAAAATTGTAGGACTTTTAAATTTTGAGAAACTATAACCATGGCTTTTACACTATGTAGTGTCCCATTTTCATGTGTTTTATAGAGTTTCTCATCTATGAGAATCAATACAAAGAGGCGATTTTCACATTAATATGCCACTTTTTTATGAAACTAAAAATGCTACGCACAGATTTACTACGTCCTAGCCTTTTTAGTCCCTGAAATACAAGTCTAAATTTAAAATGTTGCATTTTTCTATCCCCTTTGTATCTTGGGTATCTTAACTTATCAAAAAAGATGAAAACTCTGCCCCGTAGATTTTTTTTACTTAGAATCCAGTGGCGTAATTCACTGGCAGTTGTCGTTTTCGAAATATGACTCAAACATATGTTTTTTTACACTCTGTATATTTCTATTAATTTGATTTGCTTTGTTATGAGCTTTATAAAAATTACATATACTCTATATCTATTTTCATAAATATGGTAAAAAGTGCATTATTTAACTTTTTAACATAAATCAACTTAGTTTAAAAGAGAATTATTTTATTTAATTTAATTTAACGAGATAATTTTGCTTTCCATCGTGTTTTGCTCGTAATAATCTACACATGAACTTGTGCAACTTTGAAATAACATGGCTGTCAATCAGATTTATAGATATTTGATGCACGTGTGCAATAATTTCACACACAGAAACTATCGTGGAATAGCCAATAACAAAAATTTTAAGTCGGATAAATTATTCGATTCTTTTGATTACCTAATTTAAACCGGCCGGCCGTCTATATTAAAAAGTTAAGTAACACATATTTTTACAATATTTATGAAAATAAATGTAAAGTTCAAGAGTTTTCAATTAAAGCTCATATCGAGGCAAATGAAATAGAAAAAATAATATAATAATATAAACTTAACTTTGAGTCATATTTCCATATTTCAAAAATGACAGCTCCCAGAGAAGTTACATCACAGAATTCTAAGCAAAAACTCTACGGAATTCAGTTTTTACCTTTTCGATAAGTTATAAGATAACCGAGATACAAACGAAAAGGTGAGTCAAAAATGCAACAGTTTTAAATTTGCCCAAATATCTTAGGAACTAGGAGGGATAGGACAAATCTGTATGGAGCAGCAGTTTTAATTTTCATAAGAAAGTGGTGGGAAGCCGCATCTTTGTACCTCTTCTCATGTTTATGAGAAAAACTGTAAAACGTTTTATAAGTTAACATAAATAAAGACAATGCAAGTCCGAAATTATTTCAGTTTTTTTTTCAAACTATAATATACAGGGTTGTTCACCACATACGACACGGAGTATTGTAGCTAAACGATTAGATTTTTACAAATTGTAAGTTTTGGGTTCGTTGAAGGACTATTAGAGCTACAATTTAAAAATATTTTTACAAGATACAGAGTGTCCCAAATAAATAAAAAATTTTAAAGTTGTATTTTTTTAAATGGAACACCCTGTATATTATTGCATTTTTAGTTTCTACGATTAAAATAAAGGTAAATTTGATTAAAGTTTATCACACTTAAACCTTACCGTTTTTGAAATATTTTCAATTTTGTGAAATTGCAGTAAAAATTTTAAGGCTTCATTTCTCCAAGGGTATCAAAGTTTTTAATACTAAATATTTACTGAAGTTTATTTATTGATCAGTTATTGTGTTGCAATAATAAAAATTATACTACCTTATACAGAGTGTCTAAAATTTTATTTTACATAATTACTAGCTTTAAACGGCAATAACTTGTTAAATTTAAATGGAACACCCTGTATATTTTATGAGAATCAGATGCACAATTTAATTGTCTATCAAATTATATTATACCATTTTTTACCTATAGCCTATATATTTACCTAAGTTTCCCTAGAAAATGCATTTTCATGTAATTTTAAATTCATTTATCAATATACCCATGGAATACTGACATTTTAGATTATTCTTAAAGATGTACCAAATTTTTAAAGAGGACAGATACTAATATTGTCGATATAGTTTGTTTATTTCATTAAAAAATAAAAAAAAAACTGTTTAAATATTTGTTAAAGAGGACCAATTAATATGATTCCAGTATTCAAACTACATTAATTGACTGTTTGCGTTGATTAATAATAATTGCTCCAAAAACTAAAAAACTGAATTTTTTATGTGTATTAGACAGTGTGGTAAAAAGTAACACCTTAAAAATGATATTTCATTTTTTGACAAATGCTTATTTGTAACAATAGAGACATTCATTTTTATAACTTATTATTATATTGATTTCTGATTCAAATCCACATTTATTTAGAATAATTTATTCACGAATATAATTAAGTATGTAATTAATTAGTATTTGGGCGGAAATAATGGTGGTATTGTAATTATTAATGGTATACTCTTTTATGAAGATTTAAATAGTTTTCTTTTTGCATACAAATGGGCTAGTAATATTATCATTTTGTTAAAAACGATAATATTACTAGCCTGTACGTTTTGTACATTTGTTGCTTTAAAAACAATCTAAAATGTCAATATTCCATGGGTATATTGATAAATGAGGTCTAAATTATAAGAAAACGCATTTTCTACGAAAACTTGAAGGGATAGGTAAAAAGTGGTATAATATAATTTGATAGACAATTAAATTATGCATCTGATTCTCCTAAAATATACAGGATGTTCCATTTAAATTAAACAAGTTATTGCCGTTTAAAGCTAGTAATTATTTAAAATAAAATTTTAGACACTCTGTATAAGGTAGTATAATTTTTATTATTGCAACACAATAACTGATCAATAAATAAACTTCAGTGAATATTTAGTATTAAAAACTTTGATACCCTTGGAGAAATGAAGCCTTAAAATTTTTACTGCAATTTCACAAAATTGAAAATATTTCAAAAACGGTAAGGTTTAAGTGTGATAAACTTTAATCAAATTTACCTTTATTTTAATCGTAGAAACTAAAAATGCAATAATATACAGGGTGTTCCATTTAAAAAAATACAACTTTGATATTTTTTACTTATTTGGGACACTCTGTATCTTGTAAAATTATTTTTAAATTGTACCTCTAATAGTCCTTCATCGAACCCAAGACTTACAATTTGTAAAAATCTCATCGTTTAGCTACAATACTCCGTGTCGTATGTGGTGAACAACCCTGTATACAAGCTAATATGTTTCTGTATAATTCTAGGAATAGAGGTTAGAGACTTCGGCGCCAGTTGGAGAGATGGCGTCGCTTTCCTCGCCATCATCGACGCCATCAAAAAGAACCTGGTGAACATCGCCGAGATGAAGAAGGCCTCCAACAGGGACCGTCTGGAGACGGCCTTCGACGTGGCCGAGTCCCACCTGGGAATCCCCAAGATTCTCGACCCCGAAGACGTCGACGTTCCCAAGCCCGACGAAAAATCGATCATGACTTACGTCGCACAATTTTTACACAAGTAAGAGCTGTTTATTTTGAGAAAACCATGAATTCAATTGTTCTGTTGAGGAAAAGTTCATGTAATTTCTTTTAACACTAATATCATGATCCCATTTAAAAAGTTCATGTATATCATCTTTAAATCTACTGACAAAATCACAGATAGGGCTTTTTTTTCTAATATTTTGTACAGGGATATTGCCATTATTTATTATTGATATTATTAATTATTATTTTTATCCCTCAATCTAAGGATAGTAAGAACAAATTTTCCATTTTTAAAGAGGACAAAGAAAGACACAGTCAAAGTTTATGCACCATCATTACTAATATCTTGGATGACAATGCTTACACTTACATCTGCCTCACTTCTTTGATAATTTGGTCAATTACTTTGTGCCACTAGTGCATGTGATTTTAAATGGCATGTTAAACCCTTCTTTGCACTAAAATGTGTATTACAAAATTCGCCGGTAAATGCATTTACTTTAGTTTTTAAAGGTGCTATTTCCCCTATCTGATTCGGATAATTGTTTTTAAGGTGTTTCCGAAACCTTAAAAACCTTTAAGGTGTTTCCGAAACCTTCCTAAAACACATAAAACTGCGATTACATTCGCAGCAAACACTGCTGTTAGAAATACTGGTATTAATTTCACTTATTTATTAACCAAATAAATTATATGGGGAATATCATCGATGTTCATTTCCAAGACTTATATAGAAGTGAACTTAGACTAGTGGGACGTACAAGCTAGTCTCTTGTACCGTATACTCACGTATAAGATGTTACGTGATTTCTACCGAATTTTTGCAAAACGGACAACAATTATCACCACTGAGGACTACCTCTTTTTCGATAATATTTAGTCATGACACGCTATTAATGATGTAGATAAGTTTTACAAAATCAAAGTCACTATACAGGATCCGGCAATAGTGCGTCGGGCATCTGTAGCTCCTAGAATAAAAAACTTGCGAATTTTGTTTAAGTACAAACCTAAAGTACCAGGATGTATTTCATGAAAATATTTTAACTTCTACAGGGTGGCTCAAAAAAGTGTAAGTGGATCGGGATGATTTTTTTTTAAATGAGACGCCCTGTGTATTATTGCATTTTTGGCTTCCTTTCAGATCACTTTACGATCCTAAGATATGGCTAAATATATTTCGACAATTTCAGAGATATTAATAATTAAATAAAAAACATATATTTTGTAACCTTCATTAAAAAAATTATTACAAATACAAGAAGTATCCTGAAATCAAAACTATATTAGGTATTTATTTTAGATAGTCTATACTTAACTTTGCTATAAATATCTTAATCTTAAATCATTCAGGGTGTTCAAAATTCTACGACAAACTTTCTAAAATATATATTTTTTTCTTTTTGTTTTTTTTAAATGAAACACCCTGTATATTATTTTTTGATTAGACGGAGTGTTCAAAAATGAACATTTTTTGTATTTAAAGTATTTCAAAATTTTTAATGGTTTTGCAGATACACGCAGTATTATTTCATAGGGCTCTTTCAATGGTAAAATACGAGAGGAAAATTATTGGGTGGCTTTGATAAAAATTAGCTGCAGAAAATGCCATATGATATATAAAACCGCGAATATCTGCGAAACCGTTAAAAATTTTGAAATACTCTAAATATAAAAAATGTGCATTTTTGAACTCTCCGTCTAATAAAAAAATAATATACAGGGTGTTCCATTTAAAAAAAAACAATGAAAAATTATTTTATATTTTAGGAGGCTTGTTGTAGAATTTTGAACATCCTGTATGATTTATGATTACCATGTTTATAGCAAAGTAAATATAGACCTATCTAAAGTAAGTATCTAATATAGTTTTGATTTTAGGACAGTTCTTGTATTTTTAATATTTTTTTTAAGAAAGGCTGAAAAATATATATTTTTTATTTCTCTATTAATATCTCTGACACTATCGAAATATATTTAATCTCATCTTAGGATTATGTAAAGTGATCTAAAAGGAACCAAAAATGCAATAATATACAGGGTGTTTCATTTAAAAGAAGTCATCCTCATCCACTCACACTTTTCTGAGCCACCCTATAGAAGTTAAAATATTTTCCTGAAATACATCCTAGTATTGTGCTAGTACATACTTTAGGTTTGCACATACACAAAATTTATAAGATTTTTATTCTAGGAGCTACAGATGACCTACTCAGAAGAATGAAAACTACTCAGCAGAAAATTTATAATATCGATTAAAAAATGTGTTTTCTTTCAGATATCCCGAACCGAAAGCTACAGGGCCTGATGCTATAGCCGCCATCCAGGAACAATACAGCGAACTACTCTCGTGGCTGCTTAAGAAAACCCAACACTTAGACCACCTGCAACAAACCAACTCATTACCTCTAGACTATAACGAATATTCAGCTTTCAAAGCCGAAGTGGACGACCGACAAAAACTCTACACCCGACTGAAGAACCTTATTGAATCCCAAAGCCCAGTTTCTATCGCCAAGGAGTCTTGGTCGGAAGTCACTAGACTTTGGGACAAGCTCCAACTTCAACTTTTGTACTGGCTGTGGCTGTTGGACTCTAGATTACCTGGAGACTTCAAGACTATCGGAGAATGGTTGGCCAAGGCCGAGAAGTTGTTATATTGTGACGAAATTCCTACCGTGATGAATGAAGAGACTGCTACGATTATTAGTAGGAAGTTAGAAGAACACAAAGCGTTCTTTGCGGATTTGCCCGCGGTGGAACAGAGATTCGCCAGAGCGCGCCAAAGTCCCCTCGCTAACGAAGTGCCTTCCGAACAGTTGAATAATATGGCTGTAAGACTGAACGAGGTGGGACCTAAGGCGGCTCAGAGACGGGTCAGGCTCAAGTTCCTCGAACACAAGGTAAGAACGATGGTTACTGCAAATATACGGGGTGGCGCCTCTCATACAACGCGTAAGCTTCAAGGAGAACTATAGTTTGTATCGAAATGAAATGTTGTGGGCGTGTGTAGGTTAATTTAGAGCACTTTTTAAAAATATAGAGAGTACTATAGGGTGTCCCCAAAAAAGTTACACATAATAGTTGTGTTTTTTTTTAATGGAACACCATACATATTAATTGATTTTTGGATTCTAGGAGAAAAATAAACGTGAGTTTTATTAGTGAAGTATATGACTGAAATGTAAGGCTTTTGACTTATTTAACAATTTCTTCATTATTTGATAAAATCTAGGTAGCTGTGATATGTCGGACGTTACTTTAACATAGCTGTTTAATTAGTTCAATTTTAGCAACTAGTTATCATTTTGTGTCAGTTAAAACAAAAAAAAAATCTCAGAAATTTTTCGAAAATGGAAACTTATCCTACATCAGAGAGAAATGATATGATTCTATTAGTTGGTGAATGGTAATGTGCTTCCCATTCACCCATTCAATTAATAGAGTTCTTAAATGCTTAAATTTTATCTAGTCTGGGTTTTTTATGGGGATTTAAAGACAGTGTTTAAAAAATTTGACCAACCATTGTCGACAACATGAGAGGAATGATTGTGATGGCTGTTTTTCGAAGTAGGGGGGGGGGAGGGACTCAAAAATAAAAGCAAGCATTTTGAGCATTTGATCTCATCTACCTAATTTTTGTTACATAATTAGTTACAGAGGTTTATATATCTAGTTTTAATTCTGTGATAATTAAAATATGTTTTAAACGTGTATCTTTTTATTACAGTATTTTACCCTACATCCTTAAATTTTTGTTAAATTAACACAGCCTAGATTTTTTTTTCAAATAATAAAGATCTACTGACGCAAAATCACAAAAATATCTAGGAAAATCTTTGTCTGAGGGGTAGGCAAGCTTAATAATATTTTGAAGATATATGAATTCTCCACTGAACACCGGAATAATATACTGGGTGTTCTATTTAAAATACAGGAGTAACTATATATTTCTTTAAAGTACTACCATAAAACTCACCTTTATTTTTTTCCTAGAATCCGAAAATCAATTAATATATAGAGTGTTCCATTACAAAAAACACAACTTTGATGTGTAACATTTTTGGGGACACCCTGTATAACTATATACAGGGTGGTCCGAACTGTATTCCGGAAACTTCGGCAGTATATTCTGCAGATAAAAATAAGTAAAAAAGTTCGTATAAATGTATGTCCAAAAATACTTAGTTTTAGAGATACAGGGTGTAGAAGTTTCATTTTTATTTCGATTTTTTCTAAATAATTTCTGAAATAACGTCAATATTTGGATGAAAATTTGTGTCTGGGAGTTTTTTGACATGAGAAATTTGATTTTGATGTCAATATGACTCCTGCTAGTAGAGGGCGCCACCTACGTATGTTTTAATTGTTGTGAAGTGTAATTACTTTTTTCCGTACCTGTATAAAACTACCGAGCGAAAAAATATACATCTCTGTGATTTTTTACGTAAAAAATATCTCTTTGTAAAAATCGTTACGAGCAACCGTTCTTAAGATATTTAGAATGGGAATAGAAAATACATGTCATTATTGACGAAAAATAAACACATTGTGTAGATAGTTATTTCACTGAAATAATAAATTTGTGAAATTTTTATTTTTTTTAAATTAATCATAATTTTTTCTGAAAAAAATGATGATAAAACAGTTTCTGTTGAACATTTGACACAAAAAAATTTCAAATTTATGATTTGAGTCTAATAACTATCAACATGTTTAATTTACGTCAATGATGACAGTTATTGATAATTTCTATTCCAAATATCTCAAAAACCATTACTCGTAGCGGTTTTTACCAAGAGACCTTTTTCACGTAAAAAACGTCGTAAATGTAATTTTTTTTACTTCGTAGTTTTATACAGGTACAGACGAAAAGTTATTACTCTTCAAACCAGTTAAAAAATATGTAGGTGGTGCCCTCTACTAGTAGGAGTCATATTGACATCAAAATCAAATTTCTCATGTCAAAAAACTCTCAGACGCCAATTTTCATCGAAATATTGATGTTACTTCAGAAATTATTCGGAAAAAATCGAAATAAAAATAAAACTTCTACATCCTATCTCCGAAACTAAGCATTTTAGGACATACATTTATACGAACTTTTTTACTTATTTTTATTTGCAGAATATGTTGCCGAAGTTTCCGGAATACAGTTCGGACCACCCTGTATATTTTTATAAAATGCTTTCAATGAACCTACATATGCTCCCAAAGTTTTATTTGGATATAAACTACCCTTCTCCCTGGAGCCTCCGCGTCGTATGAGAGGCGCCACCCTGTACAATAAATTTCGCATTTTTAATTTTCAATATTATCTACAGAGCAATCAACAATGATTGAAATATTATATTAATTATGTAATAGTCAAAATATTAATTATATTAATAAATATTTTGACTATTACATATTTTACAGTTGAGGGTTGGAACCTTTGGTGTTACACAGCAAAATAAAAACACTAAATCACCACAATACACCAAAACACTTTTACTTTTACACTGGACGCGCGTTTCGCTAACCATGTTAGCATCATCAGCAGATGATTATAAACTAAAGTACAATCTACAAGTTGAGCGTTTATATACTCGCTCAGTGGGCACCGAGTAGGCGTGGCAAAATCTAGCCAACCGAGTCAGAGCCAACTGAGCGTAACAGTTTGATTTCCGCCACTAGAGTAGTAGGAACAAAGAACTTGAAGGAATTGGACCGTTGACTCTGTTCATACTATCTTTACATTTATTAATTCTGATGCTTTCATATGCATCTAATTGCCTGTAATTTGAGACTTGTTTAATTAATTTTAAATTATTAAGATCTATACAATGTTGTTTATCAACAATATGTTCGGCAACGCAAGATTTATCCGGTGTACCGTATCTTACCTGAGCTAAATGTTCTTTAAATCTAGTTAATATTGATCTTCTAGTTTGCCGAACATATTTCTGATTACAATCTTTACAAGAAATTTCATAAATACCCGATCTTTCCAGTGGAGGTGTTTTATCCTTTGGATTACCTAATAATTGTTGTAATTTATTATTAGCACTATACACAAGTTTATAACTGACATTCTTAAAAATTCCTTTTAGACCACGGGATAACTCTCTATCAAACGGTATCGAAAAATATTTAGACGTATCTTTCTCCACTTGAAAAGTCGAATTTTCAGAAATTATTAACCTATACCTACGTTTTCTAATTAATTTATCAACTAGTGAAGGAGAATATCCATTACACTCAGCTACATTCCTAATGTAATCTCTTTCTATTTCATATCTTTCGTTGGAAAGTGGGAAACTAAGTAATCTATGAACTAAGAAATTTAAACTAGCCATTTTATGTTCAACACTATGATGTGTTTCATTAGGAATGTATCTGCGTGTGGTCGTATTTTTCCTATAGATATCAAATTCCAGGCAATTATTAGTATTTCTAATAAATTAGAATTAAATTTACGCATGAAATTGAGAACAACGACAGATTACCATTTCTAGATGTATTAGTTATTAGAAATACTAATAATTGCCTGGAATTTGATATCTATAGGAAAAATACGACCACACGCAGATACATTCCTAATGAATCACATCATAGTGTTGAACATAAAATGGCTAGTTTAAATTTCCTAGTTCATAGATAACTTAGTTTCCCACTTTCCAAAGAAAGATATGAAATAGAAAGAGATTACATTAGGAATGTAGCTGAGTGTAATGGATATTCTCCTTCACTAGTTGATAAATTAATTAGAAAACGTAGGTATAGGTTAATGATTTCTGAAAATTCGACTTTTCAAGTGGAGAAAGACACGTCTAAATATTTTTCGATGCCGTTTGATAGAGAGTTATCCCGTGGTCTAAAAGGAATTTTGAAGAATGTAAATTATAAACTTGTGTATAGTGCTAATAATAAATTACAACAATTATTAGGTAATCCAAAGGATAAAACACCTCCACTGGAAAGGTCGGGTATTTATGAAATTTCTTGTAAAGATTGTAATCAGAAATATGTTGGGCAAACTAGAAAATCAATATTAACTAGATTTAAAGAACATTTAGCTCAGATAAGATATGGTAAACCGGATAAATCTTGCGTTGCCGAACATATTGTTCATAAAGAACATTGTATAGATCTTAATAATTTAAAATTAATTAAACAAGTCTCAAATTACAGGCAATTAGATGCATATGAAAGCATCAGAATTAATAAATGTAAAGATAGTATGAACAGAGACAACGGTCCAATTCCTTCAAGTTCTTTTTCCTACTACTCTAGTGGCGGAAATCTAACTTGTTACGCTCAGTTGGCTCTGACTCGGTTGGCTAGATTTTGCCACGCCTACTGGTGCCCACTGAGCGAGTATATAAACGCTCAACTTGTAGATTGTACTTTAGTTTATAATCATCAACAATGATTGAAATATTATTATATTAATAATTCCAGTGTAGCAAGTAATAGTCAAAATATTAATTATATTTAATTAGTATATTGACTATTTCATATTTGAAATTACTCCTTAGTAAAGACGATTTTATTTTTTGTTTGATTTGTTGTTTTTTATATAATAATTTGTTTCAGTGTTGCCTTATCGCATTCTTACAACTGACAGAAACGAAACTGAAGTCGTGGACTGCCAAATACGGACGCGTCGACAAAGTCGTCCAACTTCTCGACCAGTACAGGAATTTTGTGTCGAAGAATCACATTTTCCAAGAATTCAACAAAGCCTTTCGTGATATGCAAGCTGTTATAGAAGAATACAAACGTGATGGAAATATTGGTAAGTTGAAGTGAATGACATTGCTCTAAATTTTCCAAAATGATATGAAGTTTTACAAATTTAATAACATTATTGAATTGAAATAATTTTTTATAATATGCAGTTTATAGATATTTACAATACAAGAGAGTTAACAGCATCATTAAGATGCTCACGCACGAGTTGTGTAACCACACAAGTATCTTAATGGAGTTAACTCGCGTGTATTGTACAATATTATAAACGTCTAGTCGAATAAATTAATTAAGATAATAATTATTCTCTTACATAAGTAAATACACAATTCTTATGGCTATGATTCTTCAGTATTAAGACATTTACAATGCCAAAAAAGAGCGTCAAAAACGAATGGGGAAAGACAATCGTTGATATAATTTTGGCGAGGTAGATCTCTAGATGTCATTTACTAAAAATCTATATAAAACTTGTCAAAAATTGACATTAATTATAGAAAAATTAAAAGAGGATAGAACATTTCCAGAAACACAAATCTATTCTCAAAAAATAGTGTACTTTACTATTTAAAAATCATTTTTACTCGATATAAAAATAAATTACAACTTTCTTGAACGCCATTAAAAAATAAAGAAAATCACGAGCGAAGTAACTGACGTCTAGGGCTGAATCTTGCCAAAATTATCACTGATTATTATTCCCTAGCCGTTTTTGACGCCGTTTTTTTTTGATCGTATGGTATTACTAAACAGAATGTATGAAAAACTCTTGGAACATTCCAGTGCCGTTGCCTGTCAGTATATTAGCTGTAGGCAAGTCTCGAAAGTGTCATTTTTTGCTTCATGTTGTCTGTGCTACTTGAATCGAAACTTAAACAGTAATATAGAGGAATCATTAGGTCAATCCTTGGTTAATCAATCATCTATACCACAGAGTTGGTAAAAAAAACACCCACTTCACTGATAGGCGGTACGGAGTCAACCGAGTCGGGTAGTATTTTATAAAACTTATATTATATTTCTAATACCAAAGCTTCATTAAGAACCCCGCAATTTCTCGTGTCACAAAACTCCCAGACACCAATTTCCATCGAAATATTGACGTTACTTCAGAAATTATTTGAAAAAAATCGAAATAAAAATTAAACTTCTACACCCTGTATCTTTGAAACTAAGCATTTTAGGACTTACATTTATATGAACTTTTTTACTTATTTTTATTTGCAGAATATGCTGCCGAAGTTTCCGGAATACAGTTCGGACCACCCTGTATATCTTATAAAACAATATATTTTTGATTTCTAACCACATTTTCTCTTGACGGGTAATATAATCAAAGACGAAAATGACATTTTTCGCAAATTTTGAAGTATAATTAGTGGAAAACTTAAAAGTCTGGGAACTTTTTCCACTAATTGAAAATTCCTACCACTAATTTTGACGTTCTGAATGCTTACATTCAAATTAGAGGAACAAAGTTTTACGCTAATTGAAACCACTAATTTATTCCACTAATTGCGAGGTTCTGAATGAAGCTTAACAGTTTACATTTCGGAAATTATTACCAATAACCTAAATATTCTCATAAATATATAAGTAAATACACAATTTTTGTGGATCCATTCTCAAATATTAATATTTATTTAGAGAAAAAAACAGAGAAGAAGAAAGGGGTTTGTTACAGCGAGAAAAATAAACATAGATTCGTCAGGATTTTCTATTCTGATTGGTATTATTAATTTCTATTGTAACAATTTTATTTTATACCATCATTTTATCTTATTTACAAAATTCTTTTTTTTTAATTTTATTTTTTTTAAATAATATTACTTTATGTTTAAACTTTATTAAAGGAACTGTTGTATTTTTCTCAGATAAAAAAGAGGTTGTGGAAATAGACAAGTTTATGAGAGACATAGCCGAACGATGGAAGAACGTATCCATGGAGCTAAGATGCGTCCAAAGTATGTTAGAAGAAGTAGTCGCATACTGGAGACGATGGGATTCTTTAGCACCAGAATTTGACACTTGGCTCAACCAAGCCGAACAAGCAATGACATTGGACGAAGAAGGGAAAATGGAATTTTTCCAAGACATTACAGTATACCGGTCAGTATATTATGTAGACAACTAATCATACATTGTTTCAGGAGGTCCCAAAATCCAAAAACTAAAAAAAAAAAATTTAGATTTGCAAAAATTTAGAAAATAAATTTTCACTTCGCCAAGATCAATTTTTCCACTCCGAATTTTTTTATATCACTATTCAGTGTCCTTCATAACTATAAACTGTAATATCGTCAGTGAAACGTGATAACCTGCTAACTCCATTTTTTACGTTAATAAGTTTTTTTATACCATTAGAAAGAGAAAAAAATACTCTATAAGTAGGGAAAGCAAATACATTTTTTCCCATTAAAGATTTTTTTTTTATTTTAACTCAATAATATCTGCTAACTCCTAGTGTTCTGAAATAGCCACCGAAATGCTGCTATCTCCGTAATATCCGTTACGATCACGCTAAAGCAAACACACAGATTCTTAGTCGTCTGTTTTTTTAGTACAGGACGTCGATCCAGGGTTGCACTAGGCCAAAGGGACCCGGGTGGCAATGTAAGGAGTGGCCCGAGTGTTTCTTTTTGCGTATTTTTTCGCCTTACGTTTTGGTCAATTTTTCCCTATTATATACAGTTGTACAGAGTTCTATACTAGGTGAGTCTTAAATAAGTGCAAATATTTTTAGGGTAGTATATTTCGACCCAAGAAACACGATTATGAGTTTTTTTGCGCGATTTTTTTTTTGAAAATTTGGAATTTAAAAAAAAAATGGATTTTTTTAAATTTTTAGTTTAAAAACATACCTTGTTTGTAATATGATAGCATAGGTAGTAGATTAAATTTACAAGAAAGAAAATCCAATATATGATTCTCAAAATTATAGCAAAAAATTGGAAATTTTAAAAGTGAAATAACTCGGTTGTTTTGGATTTATTTGAAAAAAAAAACGGTAAAGAGAAAATATTATGTTTCTTTTATCGATATTTGCCAGCCCTGAACATATTTGCACTTATTTAAGACTCACCTAGTATAGAACTCAGGGAACTACCCTAATGCAAGGTAAACCAAAGCAATGAAAATTCCATAATGCAATGCAAAAGCAAATATTGTTAAGAATAAATAATGAACTATAAAGGGGGCCCGCGAAGGCTAGACCCCCCCTAATAGTTATCTATATAATATGGCCAGTCCGACCCTGCGTCGATCCGTTCTGTAAATACGGGGGTCCGTAAAGGGTAAGGGGAAAAACGAAATTCTCTATATACGAGCAATTCATCGGCGTGCTATAAATAGTTTAAATAACATTACTTACTTGTACAAGAATTTCCATAATACCTAATCAGTTTTATTTTTTTCGGCGTTTTTTCACGTAAATGATCCATAATTTTTATAAAAATTAAAAAAATAAGGAGAAAAGTAATAAAAAAATTAATAAAATCACGCACTAGTCTTCCAAGCTCGGTCTACTACCGTTGTATAAAAATTAGGATAAGCATGGAAGGATTCTAGCATATCTTCTATGAATTATAAGTTTATTTTTTAAATTATTTTCATATTCATTAAGTCCAAAATTCTGCTACTTCAGTTCTTTAAAAATGCAAAAAATTTTAAAATTTTTATTAAAAATTTATTCGTTTTTGGACTTATTACGATATTATAAATATATGGTTATGAATATCATATGTTTTAAATTTAATTGATTATTTCTAAATCTATTTGGGTAATATTCATTTCCATTTTCAAAATTTCAAACAATAAAAGTTGCTATCTCCAGAAGTATATTTTTATTTCTTATTTCTGCAAGACGAATATCTGCTATCTCCCTATTGTGTCTGAAAAAAATGACGTAACACGATATATTGAGTTTTATTGTTCCCCAGCAAATAAAATTCCTATCTCTTTATCATATTAACGCATCAAAATACTTCCTACATTTGTACATATTTTTTTGTACCGTTTTTTTGCTCTCCTGTAAAATTAGGAATAATGGAGTTAGCAGTTTATCACGTTTCACCGACGATATGTATAAAAGTTATAGCATACCGTTTTTTTACAAAATTAGCATTACTTCGATACTTTTTTTTTTATTGATCTACCAGTAGGACAAAAACACTCTTTTTTATACTAAGTTGATTTATCCATGTCAGAGATATTCATACAGAGGTTTATCCATGACAGATATTAAAATTTAACCTTAAAATGAAAAATATCTAACTTTCCTCCACCACTTTATTTTAATAGAAGAATTTAATACAGAACAGACGACGCATTTTTTGCTTCAGACGATTTTTGTTTGAAGTAAAATCATACTTCAATTAAAAAAAAATAGGGAAACTGATATTTTTGATTTTGTGTTATTGTTACGCTCCCTAGCAGACAACATTCATACTTAAAAATAATTTCCAACATTCTTACATTCTTAGATTAGTACACAGAAACTAATTATCTAACTAACACTTATTATACCGGGTGCATCTCACAACTGGCTCATCCATATAAGTTTTTACTTTTTCAGATAAAAAAAACCAGGTTTGGTATATTAGTATACGATATGATGATATTCAATTGTTCTTGATCACTTCCTGTTTCACCGGAAATGACTACAACTTTTGATTTTTAAATGACACTCTCGGTATTTTTTACTTTATTTGATAGAAATTGACACTAATAAATAAAAATAATATCATGTCAATTTTTGACATTCTCGCATATAGTTTATTTAAAATTGTAACATAATGACAATTTGACTCGAAATACCAAGTGTGTGGTACCAAATTATTCGTAAAAAATTACCTTTTCCTAATATTCTAATGAGCCACCCTTGTTCCATTTGAAAAAATGAGATATAATTAAAAATACGATTTTGGCATCTTTTAACCGGCCAGGATAAGACACGAAAAATATTAGACGATCAAATCTATATTTCTAAAGCTCCTTGATTAAAAATTAATGTTTTTAACATAGCCATGGCACTCTAAATTGAAAAAAAATACGATTTTTTAAGCGAAAATGTCAAAAGTTAACATACGATATGTCATTGTATTCAGAAGTATCATTTTCTATGGAATAAAGTAAAAATATACCGAGCGTACCATTTAAAAATCAAAAGTTGTAGTCATTTCCGGTGAAACAGCAAGTGACCAAAAACAATAGAATACGTCAATCAATTCTAATTTGTCATATACTAATATACCAAATATTGTTTTTTTATCTGAAAAATAAAAGTTAAAGTAAAAAAAACTTAAAATAAAAGTTGAGAAAAGGGTGAGCCACTTTTGAGACGCACCCGGAAGTAACTCTTGAATAAATAATTTCATATATTATCATACCTCCTTTATCTTTAATATTATTTTCAGAGACAAATATCAACTGCTAGGAGATACAGTCAGTTTCCTAATAGCCACTGTTGAAGATCCCATCGCAGCCGAACTGAGAAACACATATCAGAACATGACTGAACGCTGGGACAAAATATACCCTCACATCAACAAGTACAGCCACGCGGGTGATATTCTAAGAAACCGTAAAGATTTCAGAGCCGGAGTTGAAGTTTTATCAAACTGGTTAAGAAAAGCCGAAGAAACTCTTAACGCACCCAGCTTAGGATCAATGGAACGCATAAGATTACACAGAGACACCTTAATCAAGCTTCAATCCGAAGTTGAAGAAATCGAAAACTTATTTAAGAATATTAGCAAAGCTTTCCAGACATTGATTCAAGATCTATCAAGAGACGAAGTGGATAAGATGATGAACACGCTTAAACAAGAAAAGGAAGCTTTAGTGCGAGTCAGGGCATTGATACCAGCTCAGATTCATTTATTTAATCAATTACTAATCCAACAAGAGTCTCTGGAAGCTGGACAAAAAGAAATTAATGATTGGCTTGATAACGCAGAAGGTTTACTCAGCACCTTAACTTTAGAAGCAGATAAAGAACAATTAAAGGACCAATTAGATAAAATTAAAACATTTTTCACTAGGACGTTGTATTATAAATCTATGCTAGACAGTAAAAACAAAGTACTGAATAATATAGTAAAGTCTGTAGATAGAGCTAGTAACCCTGACATAATTCAAATGACGGAGAATATGGAACAACTAAACGATAGGTTCGCTTATGTCACTCAAAACGCACAAATTTGGGAGCAGCGCCTTCAGGAAGCATTGAGATGCTGGTATAATTTCAGTGAAAGTGAGAGAGTAATATCAAACTGGCTAAATCACGCTGAAAAACTAATATCTGAAAAACGGATAGATAGTAAAAGTATCGTAGAAGAACATAAGAATTTCTTTGAATCTGTCAACGAGCGATGGATTCACGAATTGGTCCAAAGCGCACAAGATTTGTGTAATTGCCTTCCCAAAGAACAACACAGTCCTATTACCTCATCTGTTCATCATCTTCAAAACAAATGGAAAGAGGTACTTTCATTCGCTCCACTTCATTTAATGAGACTCGAATTCCGGTTGGATGAAAACACCTTCCAGTACTATATCAAAGAACTGGAGAAAGAAATCCAGAATGAACACCTTGCAGTGAACAAGCAAGAAAACGTTGAGCTGGTAATCGCCAGACATAAAGATTTCTTCGGACCTCGTGGCCCACTGTTCGAAACTCAGAAGAGTTTGAGAAATCTAGAACAAATAGCTCAAGTATACTCGCAGAATTGTCCCGACGATAAAAGTCTTCAAGAATCGCTGAAGAAAGCTGAAGAATTATGGAAGAATGTTAACTTGAAAATAGAAAACGTACAGCAGCAATTGGAGAGGATTCCTCAGAAGTGGGATCAATATAGAATCAAATTTAGCGAGATGGTAAGGTGGATGGACTCAATTGATGATGCCTTGAAGAATATTTTAACTGATGTAAGCACACCAGAAGAATTTGATAGAGAAATTGCGGCTTTTAAGGTGAGTTTCTTTATCGGCACTAGAAACGAGCACTTTAAAATTTTGATGTATTTTAAAGTTTAATATATTTTGTTCTAGTTGGCCGATTTTGATGATTTTTTAAGCAATTTGTAGCTAAATTATTTGACTTTTTAGCATTTCTTTCTAAATTCAAAATGAACGTTTCCATCTGTCAATTATAGGAGGGAAAACAAAATCTTAATATTTTGGTGATAGCTTGAAACACCCTGTGGAATATCTTAACAAAGCAAGGAATTTAAAAATCATTTTACCATCTAGGTACGTCTTTTCACGATAATTTGCTTTTTCATTCATCTCAATAGCTCTATTTTTATTGGAGATATTCGCTTTTGAATATAGTATATTTATATTAGACCTAAAATAGCAGAATAGAAGAAAAAATTTATACTTTAAGTCTTTTTCAAACGGTTATTGCTCGAAATGCATTGGATAAATATAAATAATGAATAGAACCTTTTTTGTAGCAAATTTTATAAGGAATATTTTTGGTAAGTATAAATTTTTTTGTGGGACCAACGGGTTCTGAGAAAAAAGCGAAAACCCATCGAAGGGCGTATTGGGGGTGGTTTTTTGGGGTGAAGCTCACACTTAGAGTTAAGAACTCTTTTGATTTTGAAAAGTCTCCTTTTGGTGCGTCTAATCTCAACATATCAAAAGTTTATAATTTTTTTTTCTAAATATGCTCATATCAACGTACTAACAAGACAGTAACGATTTACAGCTTTTTAGCACTGATTTTCGGTTTTGTGTCATCATGAACACATTTATAAAATAGTATTTATTGTTTTTGTAATTTCACTGTCATTGAAAAGTCATATTATTATTGTTTATTGACGTTTACTCTAGTAGAGATGGTTTTAAGTTCTGAAGTGTCGGCTATTTCTGCTTTAATTGATCATGGGAGAGATCAACTTTTGGACTTAAAACCATATCTGCTAGAGTAATTGTTCAGCAGACAATAATAATATGATGTTTCAAAGACAGTGACATTAAACTATAAACACTATTTTATGGTCTGTTGACTAGCACCAAAAGCAAAGGCATGGTCTTAATGTAAAAATTACGAAAAAATGTTAGTGTGTTCTTAAAAAGTGAATATCTCCAAAAAAACAAGCTTTTGAGATGAACGGCAAAAGATGCATCTAGATAATAAAATTATTTTTAAATTCCTCACTTTGTTAACGCCAGTCCACAGGGTATTTCAAACTTTCACCAAAATTTCAACATTTTGTTTTTCCTCGTATCGTAAAATTTGCAAAGAGTTTTTTTACTAAAAAGTCAAATAATTTAGCCACAAATTTTTTAAAAAATCATCAAAATTGATCCTTTAAAATACATCAAAATTTTAATGTGCGAGTATAGTGTATAGTATTTTATTTTAGTTAGTTTTAGTGAATGATATTTTTTCTAATCTGTAAATAATATTTTGTTAATTAAAAATCATTTATTTAGGCTATTTGCCAAGAAGCTGACCAAAAAAGGGAAGACATGAAGTGGCTGGTTCAAACCCTTGATTATCTCGTTTCACATTGTCCAGAAAGTGAAGCTATTGCAGAACAAAAAACACTGGAGAACCTAATCTTGAGATACAAAAATCTCATACCATCGTTAGAGATAACTATGACCAAAACTGAAACTATGTCGAAATGTTATACTTATCGCAGAGAAGTACGCCAAATTTGCGAATTACTGAAGCAAGTTAGGGAGCAGTCAGCGCCACAACCACAAAACCTCGAAAAAATTGACGAAAGTGTACGTCAACAAGAAATCACAGTATCACAATTAGATGAACAACGTCCCTTAGTTATGACTATGTTGCAAAAAGGCAAAGAATTGAGCAGGGATGTCCACGCACCTAGTTTTGTTTCTGATGAAGTTAAAACACTTGAAACTGGATGGACTGAAACATACAGTGAAAGCGTCTCGAGATTACATCAACTTATAAGCACCCAGCACACCTACAGAACATACAGGGATCAAAAGAAAGAAATTACTGGTCTTCTTGAACGAGCTGAACAAGATTTATCAAAAACCACCAAGCAATTGAGTATTGAAAATTCTTCTAACGATATTTTATCGAAACAACAATTAGTGAGATCTCTACAAGAAGCCAGGGAAGAGCTAGCGCCTCTTAAAGAACTGACAGCGAAATTATCCCAGGAAGCAATTGAACCTCAAAGAGCACTGCTTGAAAAAGAGGTACGTGAAGTTGAACAACGCCTAGATACAACTACATCAAACATATTAGAGCAGATGACGTTCTTGCAACAATACACTACCAAATGGTCAGGTTTCCAACAGCAATTTGGACAATTGAAAAACTGGTCCGTTCAAGATGCACCTCAACTATTATCTTCCGCTCATGATGTTAATATAACCCCTGAAGACAGGTTGGAAAAGACTCAAAAACTTCAATCAGAAATATCGAACAAGGTTCAGCTAATTGAAAACCTAAAGAAAGAGGGTTCGCAAGTTCTTGTTAGTGATTCTCCTGATGCTCAGAAGTTTAAGGCGGAAATTGTAGCTCTCCAAGACCGTGTTTCTGCTATCAAGCAGTCTGCCGAAGGACAAGCAGCGCTCGTGTCAAAGGATCTGGAGAATTGGAAAACATACAAAAGCAGTTTAGAAAAAATCGCACCTGTTGTCCAAAAAGCAGAATTAAAAATTCAAGAGGGTGCTCCAAAACCAGCAACGCTCGAAGAAGCTGTAAGACTTCAGTCAGAAACGAAAACTTTCTCGCAGGATTGCCAAGCTCAGATACAGGAGTTAAGAAACATCCAGGACTTAGGACACCAAATTGCTACAAAGTCAGGGGCTCCCGATGAAGTAGACTCGATCAGAACAAGATTATTTACTGTTAAAGAAACATCGAATCAATGGAACCAAAAACTAGACAAACTTGTTACGAATTGGCTTGACTTCGACAAAAACGTACAGCATTTGGAGAACTGGATTGTGTCCAACGAAAAAACCCTAAGCGAAACCATCCCGAATCTAAGCACACCAAATATCGATAAGCTCGAAAAAGAATTGATAAGATTGAAGCAATTCAACAACGAAATATCCGAGCAACAAGCCAGGTTAATCAGTTTAACACAAAGCTCGGACAGCATTAGCTATAACATTGCTCCAGAGGGAGCCAGTTTGGTTAAAGATCAAGTTCAAGCCTTAAAAACTAAAGTATCCACATTAGCTGAAGGTGTACGTGCAAGAATTAACGACGTTTCAGATGCTATCCTAACCAGACACGACTTCCAATCCAAAGTCGCTGATTACTCAAACTGGCTGGAATCGATGACAGCTAACGTAGCTCAGTTGGATGAGATTCCAGCTAATAAAGTTGATATAGCTATAGAAAATATTCACGCTCTTCTTCAGGAACACTCCGAAAAACAACCGGTGTTGAATAAAATATATGAAGAAGTGAAGGAAATGACTCTTAAAGCTTCCAAGCAAGAAGCTGAACCTCTTAATACAGAATTTACGCAACTATCCCAAACAAACCAAGATGTTGAACATAAACTTCAAAGTAAAATGACTAGTTTACAAAAATGGAGTGAACTACTTAACTGGCACACAGATACAATTAACCAACTTAACCACTTGAAATATCAACTAGAAAACGAGAATTGTTCTCCGGAAAAATTGCAAAATATGATTAAAGAATCTAATGACGTCATTGAGAAGATTATTACATGGAAGCAATCTGCTCCGGCTATTGACAGCAGTCAAATAGTGACGATATTGGATAAACAAACTAGATTGCCCAGAACAGCTGAAAACATAGTAAGAGAAGTTGAAGTAAACGCTATAAACTTAAAATCAAAGCTAGCAAATCAGCTTGACGAAAAACAGAAAGTAAAATCTCACTGGGACGATTTTAAGCATCTACAACTGAAATTAATAGATGACTTAGGGAATACAAAGATTGAACTAGAGAAAATTAAAAGCACTGTTAAACACTCCAGTGATTTACCTCATGCAGTTGAAAAATTACAAAAATTATTAGACAGTCAAATAGAGAAATCTTCTCGAAAGGAAGAATTAAGAAAAGATGCCCTACAGTTAATGAAAGAAGACGCTCAGCAAGTCGCTGTAATTCAAAATACTGTGTCTGACATTGAAGGCCAGTGGAATAAAGTAAACGAAGATATCAAAGAAGAAAAGATGCATTTAAGCGACGTCATTCATGCCTGGAACGAATTCCAGGAATCTAAAGACCAAATCGTGACGGAAATCGGTAAAATCGACAAGTCTTTGGAAAGTTTCGAAGTCCCCACTGACCTCATTCACGCGAACGTTAACGGAGAAAAAGCTAAGAAAGCTCTTGACGCGATCAAGAAGACTAAAACACTGCTAGATAGAGTAGACAATAAGGGACAGGCAATTATCAGAAAGACCGAGAAAATTCCAGGAATAGAATCGGAAGTAAAACGAGACTTACAGATCGTGCACGACGTTTGGTCAAAAATATACGAAAAGATCGTCAAAACTGTCAATTCTACTGAATCTCAAGCGACGATATGGAGGCACATTGATGAAACCAAAACAACACTCTTACAGTGGCTGAGTAATCAGAACAGTGCTATAGTTTCGGCAGCAGAGAAACCAAACGAAACAGAAATAGCGACATCTAAGTTGAACAAATACAAGGAGGAACTCCCTGCTCATCAAAGACTGTTTCAAAGTATTCCTCATAAGTATACTCAGCTAGTAAAACTAACAGATGGTAAAGAAATTCCAACTATACAAACTTTAATCAAATTACTAGAAGAACAATTTGTTACTGTAGCTGAAAACGCAAGTAAATTAGAGACTGTGACAACTACATTCGTTGACCAAGAGAAAACTATTAGAGATGATATTAAGACTGTTAGTACGACTTTGTCAAGCTTGCGCGAAGAAATCATTACAAACGAAGATTTCTCAGGGGACAATATAAAGATTTTGGAAAGGTTGTTGACTATTAAAGCACTGTCGAAGGATTTAGAAAGCCAACAACCCAATTTAACTATTATCGATGAAAATATTAGGAGGGTAGAACAAGTGTATCCTTCATTTAGCGACAGTACAGTTATCAAAGAACAAGAAGCTCTGAAAAAACGATACAATAGTATTGTAGCTCACGCTAATAAAATTGACAATTCTCTATCAGCGTTTCTTAAAAAATTCCATAACGACAAATACGCTGCTCTTCAAAGAATTATTTCAGCTCAAAGAGAGAAAATACAGTGGTGCCTACCTGACACTTCTAGTGATAAGTACAATTTGCAAGTTAAACTTAATTCACTAACTGCAATTGAAAATGCCATTGAAGATTGCCAAAGTCGAATGAATGAATTAGAGAATTCATTACAAATGTTGGCACAAGTAGAATCACCTGAATCTGTTAAGCTTTTAACAGCAGAAAAAGAATATCTTTTATTAGAGCTAAATAACCTGAAACAGGAGTTCGATAAAACTAAAGAAGCTCTCAGTAAAAATATCGATATCCAGAGTCAGTACGAAGAAATTGCTGATAAAATATCTAATTGGCTTAAAGAAATGGAAAACAAAGTAAAATCCGAAAGCTCCGTCCAAATGAATTTGGATAATATTGATACAAAACGTGATGATATTAAAAAACTATATTCTCAAGTACAAAATTTCCAAAGTGAAATAACGAAACTAAACGAAGTCAGCGAGGAAATCATTAAAACAACTCCAGAAACTAGAATTCCACAATATGTCCAACATATCAATTCTAGGTATAATTCTCTTACCAAGTTTCTAGAAAACTATTTAAATAAATTAGACGAACTTGACAAATACAAGCAGCTCTACAGAAATAGCGTTAATGATTTGGAAAACTGGTTAGATCAAGCTAATGAAAAAGTAAAATCTTTCTCGAAAACAGCCCAAAAACCATCACAATCGATGCTGGAAGAACTTAAACGATTTGGATCAGAAAAGGAAAAAGGCCAAGAATTGTTGGGAAAAGCTATAATTCACGGTGAAGCATTATTCAGCGGAATAACACCAGAAAACAGAGACGCTATCAGAACAGAACTACGAACTTTACGAAACAAATCGGAAGATCTTATCGATCAAGTTAATCAGATCTACAAAAACGTCGAGAACGCCTTGACTCAACGCCACTCATTTGACGACAGTCTTCAACAAGTAACTTTATGGTTGAACGATACTCTTCTAAAATTATCCGATCAACCCAAGCTGGATGCTACACTTTTGGATAAAAAACAAACTTTGCATAACTACAAAGTAATAGCGTTCAGATATCAACTTACACAAAAGCGTTTTACAGCAACTTCAAGAAAAGATTTCTCATATCTCAGATTCAGATGCTGACAATAAACTTAAAGATAATTTACAGAATGTCAACAAGTTACTAAATGACGTTAATAAAAGAATACAGCTTTCAGAGGGTTATGTAAGTAATCATGAAGCCTTTAACCAAGCTATAGAAAAATGTCATGATTGGCTAGCTGCCCTCACAGCAGAAGCGACGCTTCTTGTGGACGAATCATCTAGCGAACCGATGGACAGTAAATTGACTATAGTCGAAAATCTTCTTGCTCAAAAAGAAGAAGGTGATAAAATTATTGAGTCTTGTAGGGCTCAGTTAGAAAGTGTTTTATTAGAGACCGCACCAGAAGGACACCCACCTTTAATTAACAGTTTTCAAGATCAACAAACATCGTGGAACCTTTTCTTGGAACTATGTACCGACGCGAAAGAGAAACTCAACATTATTTCCAACCAATACGCCGAAGTGGGTCGCTTAATGGACAACCTAGACACTTGGCTAAAGTCGAAAGAAAATCAAGTTAAAGATCAAAGTTTGAAAAACACAGAAGAAACTAAGAGAGCGCATTTAGAGAAATTGAAGAGCTTAGAACAAGAAATTTTGAATAAAGAGCCCGAATTTGCCAACTTTATTGATGCGATCAAAGATGTCGAAACAGACACTAGAGCATCTCAGTTAAGTGCTCGCTACCATTCACTGAAAAACTCTATAAAAGAAAACATAAGCCGCTATGAAGGTTTTGTTAAAGATCATACGGATTTCAACAAAGAGTACAAGGAGTTTTTGAATTGGCTATCTGATAAAGAAGAGGAGCTTCAAGAACTCTGTCACATAGTTGGAGATTTAAATGTACTGCAAAAACGTCAGAACGAAGTCCGAAACCTTCTTGATGAAAAGAACAAAAAAAGCATTGAATTTGAGAATTTAATTGATAAGGGTGAGAAACTTTACGTTCATACATCTCCGGATGGAAGAGAAATTATTAGGCAACAGTTAAGAAACATTAGAACTATTTGGGATACTTTAGGCGACGATGTACAAACAGCTACAAACAAATTAGACCAATGCATATTGCAATTTTCTGATTTTACTGCAACTCAGGAACAATTAACCAAATGGTTAAAAGATGTGGAAAAAGGTATGAAGCAACATACTGAACTGAAATCAACTCTCCAAGAGAAAAGAGCACAACTCCAAAATCACAAAATAATGCATCAGGAAATTATGTCCCATCAACAACTAGTTGAAACTGTTTGTAACCGTGCACAACAGTTAGTAGATCAAACTCAAGATAAGTCATTAAACGTGTATTTACAATCTATTAAACAGTTATTCCATAACATCGTAGCAAAATCGGAAGAGCTACTGAAGAATTTAGAAGAATGTGTTGAAAGGCATCAAGCATATAACCAACAAGTCGATGCGTTCAAGAACTGGATAGCTCAGCAAAACGAAAAGTTGCATCATTATGATGATGAAAGTGGAGATAAAACTGAACTTAACAAACGAATAGAAAGTTTGAAGCAACTAAAAACTCTCAGTGAACAAGAAGGAATAAAATTGTTGGAGGGTCTTAAAAACTCTTTAATTGTGGTAGGAAAAAGTACTGCTCCTAAAGGCGTTGAACTTCTAAAAGCTGAATTAATCGAGAATCAAGGGTTGCTTCAACAACATTTAGTAGAAATTGGTGAGTTAACCTTTTAAAATTCGGAACATTGTTATTAATTTTAATTGCTATTTTTAGATTCGTTGATTAACAAACAGGAAACAGCTACCAGCAAATGGAATGACTATGAAAATATATTAGAGGATCTGAATCAATGGATTCAAGAGAAGGAATCAGTTTTCAGAAACCAAACTTTACAAGCTACGTTACCTGAAAAGGAAATTCAACTTGTTAAGTATCAAAAAGAACGTGCTGAAGTTGAAGCAAAAGAAAAAGAAATCGATCAATTTGTCGATAGAACTCATGCTCTTCTGAATTCGAGTGGTGTGCAGAAGATCAAGCCCGTGATATCACAATTTAGTGTCAGGTATCAGAGGAAAATTTTTAAAAATAATTAAGAACTAATAATGTTATTTTTTACAGATACCAAAACTTACATGCGTTAACCAAAGACGTTATAACTCGTTGGCAAAGTATCATAGATGACCACCAAAAGTACCAACAGAAACTAGAAGATACCCTAACCTGGCTACAGCCTTTGGAAGATCAATTGGCTGTATTACAGAGAGGCGATCTTGCTGACAGTCCACAAGCTGTTTCTCAGCGAATGCAAATATTGTTATCTGAAAAAGAACAAGGTGATCATAAAATTAACAACCTAACATTGACTGGTGAAAGAATATTGCCGGATACAGCCATGAACGGAAGAGAAATTATTCGTAATGAAATTAAAGATGCTAGAGAGAGATGGGAAAAGTTAGCCGAAGGTAAAATAAATTAAACACTTAAAAGGTATGATTGTAAGTTACTAAGATATAATAATAATTTACTTAGGTATAACAAACCAGCAAAAACTTCAAGAAGCTCAAACGTTGCAACTTTCGAGTTACCAGGAAATGTTACAACAAACGCTGGCTTGGTTAGACTCAATGGAAAAGCAAGTGAAGCTAGATACTACGTCATGGACCTCAATACAAGATATTAGAGGAAAATTATTGAAACAAAAGACCGCTTTGCAAGAAATTCTGCCTCACAAGCGAGTTATCGAAGGTAAGTTTTATTTAACTTAAAAATGCTATACAAGTTTATGTTCAAAATTTTTAAATATGCATAAAATTTCCATTTTAAAAATACAGTATAGAATGATCATAATCATAAATAATTTTTATGAGAAATTCTAGATTCTTCGAACTATAATAAAAATCAAAGCTTGATTTACCATAAAAATTTTCAATCGTCTAATAATGTAAAATTTTTCAGAGAATTATTTTCAATATGCAGGGTGTTTCCAAACAAATTTTAGAAAAAAACTTTTTTAAAAACAAGCTTTTATTTAATAATACACTAAAAAGGAAAAAATAAACTTTTTCTTTAAAACTTCTATTACGAACTTATATCTTCATTACACAATTTTAATATTATATAAAAGCTTGTCGCAAGATTTGGGTGAACAATTGCACTCATAAAAATCTGGTACGACAACTTTATATTGTAATTCCTGGTCTAGTGGTCTATCATAACACAAACTTTGAAAATGAAACAGGGTAGATACAGGTTTTAGTTAATTTACTTGTTTATCGATGTAGAGAAATCCCGCGACAAGCTTTTATATAATATTAAAATTGTGTAATGAAGTTATAAGCTCATAATAAAAGTTTTAAAGAAAAAGTTTATTTTTTTCTTTTTTGTGTATTATTGAATAAAAGTTTGTCTTTAAAAAAGTTTTTTTCTAAAATTTATTTTCTACTTTTTAGTTATGCTGGTTTCTCAGTGCCACACACTTAAACTCAATTTTTTTTTCCTTCTTATTGTATTGTATTTGACTAAGAGTGGGTCCCAAGGGGGACCCTCCACTGAGGCCGCGAGGGCCTATTGTGGCTCAGTTTCTACAAGCTCTAATTTACAAGAGCGTCAAAGTTGATCCTCAAGATCCAGCCTCTTAATATAGGCCGTTATGTCTGAGGGCGATATGTCTCCTAGGTCTGATAGGTCTAGCATGGGTTTGCCAAACATCTCAAACCTGGTCCTGCTCCCAGCGGGGCAGGTACACATAACGTGCTTCATTGTTTCATCATCTTCCATACAGAGTCGGCATTCGGCGTCTTCCACCAGTCCGTCCTCTGCAGGTGAGATCTCAGCCGGCAGTGGCCCGTACACACTGCAGTGAGCACACGCGTTCCATTCCTACCGGCCTTTAGGAGTTCTCCTGTTCTATGTTTGGATGGCCCTGCTAGATTTTCTTGGCATGCTCCATTCCGGGACTGTCATTCCAGTCTCGGAATGTCTCACCCTAACCCATTCACAGAGCCTGTCTCTTGCGAGATTTTTGGGAACGCTAAGTGTCGGTTCTGGTCCCACGAATGGCGCGCCTGCACCAATTTTGGCGAGGGAATCAGCACGTTCATTTCCTCTAGGCCGACATGTCCCGGTATCCATATTAGCGACACTTTGTTCCTATTCCCAGTATATTGAGTAGTTTCTTACAATGAAGAATCGTCATAGACGTGCTTTTCGTTGCCTCAAGTGCTTTCAGCGCAGCTTGACTATCCGAAAATATGCATATTGTTTTCCCGGTGTATTGTTGTTCTACCAGCAGTTGCACACAGGTTTCAATAGCATATAGCTCAGCTTGAAAGATCGTGATGTGTTTTCCAAGACTGTGGTAGATCTCAGTCTTTGGACTGCTGCAGTAAATTCCTGCGCTAGATCCTTTTTCGTTTTTGGATCCGTCCGTGTACCAACACATTTCCGCATGTAATAAGCCGTTTCCCGGCTTATCCCATTCGTCCCTATTCGGAAACAGGACGTTGTAGGTGCGCGTCAAGAGTTGGACTGGTGGTGTAAGATCCGAGATCATTCCCATAATCTCATCCGACTGTAGTTCTTCTATTAGCGGTTTTGTATGAACATAATTGTTCCTTGGCTTCCTCGTTCTATATTTAGAAACCTATATGTAGCCCATCTCGCCTCTCTTTCCAAAAGAATTTGAAGAGGAGGTAGATCGAGTAGGGTTTCCATAGCCTTTGACGGCGTGGAATGGAAGGCACCAGTCACCGCTAAGCATGCTTGTCGTTGTAGTTTCGACAATTTATTCTTTGCCGTTGTTTGGTTGGCTTTCTGCCACCAGGTAACTGCATCATACGTGATAATAGGTCTGATGGCCGTCACGTATAGCCAGTACATATTTTTGGGGTTTAATCCCCAGTTTCTACCACAAATTCGGCGGCATGCCCATAGAGCATAGCAAGCCTTTTTTGATGTTTTTTCCAGATGAGAGGTCCAGCTAAGTTTTTTGTCCAGGTTTAATCCCAGATACTTAACTTCCTCCGCAAACGGAATTGTCTCACCAAGAAGAATGGGCGGTTTCAGTTTGTCTGTTTTCCTTCTTCTGGTGAATGGTATGATCACGGTTTTCTGTGGGTTTACACTTAATTGTTCCAGTGTGCACCAGCCGTGAATTGCATCTAGGATTTCCTGTATTTTTGAGGAGATGTCCTCCTCTTTGTGTCCTTTTACTAGGATCACCAGGTCGTCCGCATATGCCTGTGCTTCAACCTCGTATGCATCGATGATTGCCATCAGGTCGTCCGCTAACAGGGTCCACAGAAGAGGAGAGAGAACTCCTCCTTGCGGGCATCCCCTGCCCGGAACAAACCTAACGGACTCACCACTGAGCGAGGTCGTTGCTACTCGATTTTTGAGCATTTGCTCAATCCATTCAGTTATGGTAGCTTCGACTCCTCGTGCTTTCACAGCGCCTAGGAGCGATTGAGGGGTGACATTGTTGAATGCTCCCTCAATATCTAGGAATATCCCTACCGCAATTTCTTTGCGATCAAAGGTACTCTTAATTTCCCCTACCAAATTGTTGAGGGCCAGTTCTGTTGATTTTCCCTGTTGATAAGCATATTGTCGGACATTCAGGGGATTAGACGTAAGAATCCTCCCCCTAATGTGTCCATCCAATATCTTCTCCAGAGTCTTCAGCAGAAATGATGTAAGGCTTATTGGTCGATATGAGCCAGGTTGTAGGTTTTGTTTCCCCACTTTCGGTATGTATACCACCTTTGCTCTCGTCCAGTCAGCTGGCAGGTGTGACCATGCCAGACTTGCCCTAAAAATTCTTAATAAGCGAGGGACGATAATGTTCTCAGCCTTCTGCAATAAGGCCGGAAACACTCCGTCCTCTCCTGGGGATTTGAATGGGTCGAAACTTTCGATCGCCCCTTTAGTCTCCCTATAGGTGATTACTTTCTTCGCTATCTCCCAATCCTCTTTTTTGGGCCGGTTTTTACGACGCATGAGTATCGGGGGGGGTAGCTCTTCATCACCTAGTATCAAGCAGCCTGGGAAGTGTTTTTGGGCCAAAATCTGTAGCGTTTCTTTCCTGGACTCTGTGAAATTACCGTCGGGGCGCTGTATCGTCCCTAGCTCATTCACTGGTTCTTTTGAGAGAATCTTGTGAATTCTGGTGCTTTGAGGTAGATCGACCAGACTCCCACAGAACCTTCTCCAGGACTCTCTCTTCGCCCGTCTTATTTCCTTATTGTACTCCGCCAACGTCGCACGATAAGTTTCCCAGTTACCTGACACTTTAGCGCGGTTAAAAAGCTGCCGCACTTCTTTTCTTCTTTTTGTAGTTTGTTGTTCCACCAAGAGGACTTTCTATTATCCTTCTTTGTTTTAAGTGGACAGTTTTCACTATAAACCGTTATAATTGCACATCGCAGTTGCTCCGCTGCAATCTCGATCTCGTCGCGATCTCTCACTTTTGCAATTGTGGGTTCCAGCAGATGCACGAGTGAGCGGTTGTATCCTTCCCAATCTGTGCACTTAGGATCCCTATATTGCAGGAGAGTGCTTTCACCTACGCTTATTTCAAACTGTATGTGTCTATGATCCGAGCACGATGGCTCAGATGATACCCACCAATTGGATATCCTATTGCTCAAGTAATTAGAGCTGACCGTAATGTCTAAAACCTCTTTCCTGTTACAAGTAACAAAGGTTGGTTCGGAGCCTATGTTATTAACTACTAACCCTTCACCTATTAAGTAATTAAGAATTAACTCACCTCTGAAGTTGGTGTCCGTGCTTCCCCATGCCTCGTTGTGGCCGTTGGCGTCGCATCCTATCACCAGCTGTAGGTTTTTCCTCTTGCAGAAGGAGATTAGTTCTCTCACTTTCTTTGGAGGAGGTAAATCCGCTGTCTTGTCTCCCGGGAAATATGCTGAGCAGGCAATGAACTCCACTCCCCCTCCGCTCCTCCCCGCTGGGATCTTGATATGTACCGCCACCACATCCTGACAGCAGAACCTATAAAGGTTAAAAGAGTGCACGCTCTTTTTTACTAAAATGCATGCCCTAGGTCTGGTTACTCCAGGGGCGGTAATTAGCCTACCCTCTGCGTCCCCAAGGCCACATACGCGGCCTGAGTTAACCCAGGGTTCTTGAATGAAGGCGAGATGCACGTCCTCCTTCTTGAACCTTCTGCCAAGGACGTTAGAGGCGGCCTTGGCATGTTGCAGGTTAATTTGTATACATTTGACTGCTGCAGCCATCCCTGCAGTAGTCAAATTTAGGTTTTGCTCCCACCGTCAGGGGGTCTACGTCCCCTTTTGGTGGGAAACCTACATTCGTTCCGCCTGCCTTTCCGGGTGGGTTTGTTCCCACTCGAGTTGCCAGGCTTCCCCGAGGCTCCAGAGGGTTTAGCTTTAGACCCTTTCATGGCCGGGTTTTTCCGTGCCACTACTTTGCCTCCAGCTCTCTCCCTCTGGGTGTTGCCAGACCTCGTGGCGTCAGTCGTCACCCGAGAGGCTGTAGGATGGTCCCCACCATCTCCCGAGACTGACGCCCTGGTCTGCTCCGTATTGGTTTCATTTTCCTTATCTCTGGGTCGGAAGGTAATCTGCCCAAACCCAAAGTAGGCCCTGAATCCGTTGCGGCGAAGGAGATCCATGGATCTCTCATCAACCGCAAAGGTCCAGGTTTGTCCCGGCCCTGCATCACTCTGGTGGAGGATTCTCCACTCCTGAGTTAGCAGGCTAAGATTCATTCTTCTAAGTCTGTTCAGCACAACATCCCCTCTGAGCCGTTCTCCAGGCTCATCATCGGGAATGTAGGCCGTACAGACATGAGGCTTGGGTATATCCCGCCCCCTTACTGCCCTGAGTTCCATGCCCTGCCATGGCGAAAGGTCGTTGACCATCCTTTCTAACCACGCAGCGCTGGTCTCGTCGGCACAGATTACAAGCAGCCATCCAGGCCGAATCGAGCAGCCTTGGAAGCGTACCTGTAGTCCTTCCTCTGTGCTTGCGTCCACGGCCTTCATAATGGCACGTTTCAACAACAAGAGTTGCTCGGTGGATAGGCTGTTCTCTGGGTGGTTAGGTCGGATTACTCCAACCCTTATTTCCCCAGCGGCTTCCACGTAGCTTCTTGCGCCCTCCCTACAAGGCTTCTTAGCGCTCTGTTCAGGCGTGCTTGCATCCGAGCGGATGCGCTTGCTAGCATTAGGAGCACCAGTGTGAGGTTTATTCTCCTCCGGGTTGATTTGTCTCTTCCCGGAAGAGGTACCCCCACTTATCTGTGCCCTTTGTTTCTCCGCTTGTCGCTGCAGAATCGTCTGCAGAGCGGTCTCATAGGGCATTCCGCCCTTGAGAAGTCTTGAGAGGAGCTTTCTTGTCGCCCCTGCAAACCTTTTCTTTTCCAGGGATAATTTCTCCAATTGCTTGGAGACCCCGAAAGGAGGTTCACCTTCTGCCTTCTCAGGCGAGGGGGATCTGGGCCCCTCTGTTTCCTGATCCGGCTGAGGTGAGTTGTTTGGGGTAGGAATAGTCCCACGCTCCTTAGTTTCCTCCTCCTTAGGAGAAGGATCGGGACGGTTTGATCCATCCTCGTCATTGGGTTTTTTGCTTTCTTGGTCCATATAATGATCCCACGAGTAGCAGGGGAAAGAAACGACCATCACGGCAGAGCCCCGCAATACCGTGACTAGGCATTTATGAGCTGGGAGGTCGCCCGGTATCCCAGGTTAGTCGCTAGTGGTCGGGTTTCCCCCCGACCATCCATCCCTTTGGCGCGCACTATACCGTAGGATTTGGGGGTTTTTATAGTGGTACCTCATCCACGCGGCTCAGACAGTAAAGCCAAAGCCCCATGTCTCTCCTAAGAGAGACTTACGGTATGACGGACGTTAAGTCCCGTAGGAGGTCCCGTCCGGCATCGTTTTTATGTCTTGATGCAGTTCCCTGGCCACGACACTACAGCCAGGGACAAGACATTGAGATGCTCCTTAGACCTAGCCAGAGCGCAAGAGGGGTCCCCTCCGGTGCCTTGGCCGGGAGCTTCCCCACCAACGTCAAGGTCTCGCATCTCGTAGGGGAAGTTTTCCTTCTTATGGGCAACCTAATAATATGTATATCGAGTTTCATTAAAATAGGAGAACTTAAAAAAAAACGACAGCTGTCAAATTTGACAGTTCAAATCTGAGACAAATAAAATGAAAACCGACTATAGGGTAGGGGGCATCCAATACATCGATTTTTTAAAAACATTTTTTTTTATCAAAATCGGACAACTGAAATTTTTTTGACAGCTTAAATTTTTTTTCTTTCATTTTAGCCCATGGCCATCCTATATATCGATTTTTATCAAAATCGGGCAACTTTGAAATTTTTTTGACAGCTGTCAAATTTGACAGCTCAATTTTTTTCTTTCGTTTTAGTCCATGGCCATCCTACATATCAATTTTTATCAAAATCGGACAACTTTGAAATTGTTTTGACAGCTGTCAAATTTGACAGCTCAATTTTCTTTTTCTTTCATTTTAGCCCATGGCCATCCTTATTTCGATTTTTATCAAAATCTGTTGACTTTGAAATTTTGACATGTCATTAAACTGTCATTTTTTCAAGATGGCCGCCCATATATTTTTTTTCCATATATATCTTTATATGTATATACCCACGGAAAATTGGAACAATTTCCGTTGCACGTCATCAATTACACCATGCGTCATCCTTTGGAGATTGCTGGTGGTCGTATTATGATGTGCAACGGAAGTTATTTTAATTTCCCAATTTCAGCCTGATCCATTCATAAATGGAATTTTAAAAAATCAAAAACCTCGAAAATGCCGCCATTTTGGGCGCCATTTTGACAGCTGTCAAAAATTCGGGTCATGCAAAGGGTCATGCTTTGCAAAAAAATGTATTGTCATCGGGACTGAACCTACATGCCAAATTTCAATTTCCTACAATAAAAGGAAGTGGTTCTAATTTAGCTTACCAGATTTGCCTCGAACAAACCATACATACATATGTAGATAGTTACATAGATAGTTACATACAAAGCAAGTTAAATAAAAGCTTATAAAAACATGTTCCATCTCTCGTGTGGAGATTCCCCATGTAAAAATAAGATTTATTTTTCATATCAACATAGGCCCAATTCTGCTTTGTTTCGTAGCTACAGGGGGTTCCTTTTTTTCGATTTAATATAATTTTTTCCAAGTGCTTTTAGAGATTGGAATTAAATTTTGATGGTAAAAGTTACTATAAGTGTTACATAATTTAATGCTAAAAAAGTGTCGACAGCTTCACCAGTGAGGTGCATATGGGTTATCACTGGAATTTAAAAAAAACATATGCGCCATTGACTTTTTTCCTCTTGTTAGCAAAACTGTGTAATGCCGATTGATAGTTGTATCATGATATTTTGTCAATTTCGATCTCCTTCACGAGATAAACGCAATCTTATTAATCACAATTAATAAAATTAAAATAAAATTAACAAACTATTTATTTTATCTATTTTTTATTAAAAATTACAACTCAGATGTTCAGTGTTTCAGGCAGTTCAATCACGGCAAATCCAACTAAAAAATTTATGTTTTATTATATATATATAAAAAAAGTTATTTAAGTTAAGACCTATTTTTTTAAAGTTTTAACATCCTGTAACTTTAAAACTATACATTTCCGCACCTATGTTTATAGGAACTTTTTTCATATTTTTTGATGAGAAATCAATGAGTACTTATTTAACACTTTGACTAGTTAATACATTAATTTTTTTAAAGATTTCTATTTGCTATTAGATTTGGATTAAGGCAAAATATCAAGAGAGCTTATAATCGGCCGTTAAACAGTCTACACAAATTTGCGAACAAGATAAAAGATGTCAGTGGTGCACGTTTTTTTTTAGAAAAATATTCTAGTAATAACCCATATGCATGTCCCTGGTGCATATGTCGGTATTTTTTTATCATTAAAATATGTATAGCACTTCTAGTAACTTTTACCCTCAAAATTTCATTCGAATCGGTAAAAGCACTTGAAAGAAAATTATAATAAATGGAAAAATATTAGGACTTTATGAAAAATTAATATTATTTTTACGTGAAGAATCTTCGCACACGAGATAGCACATGTTTTTTCAAACACCCTGCATGAATTGCCCTGTATTTAATCATAAATAAACAAATTTTGTATCAAACATTAATGTTACGTTAAGTATTATCTGTGGTATTATGGATAACAAAACCAATATATTTTATATTTTGAAATTAAAACACTTAGTTGCTTCATCTTTTATTTTACTGATATACCTTTGTAAATACAAACAAACTAAATATATACGACTTTGCGACAGTCTTTTTACACAAAATTTTCGTTTCGGTAGGGAAATAGACAGTTTGATATCTTTAAAATATGAATTTCATGGTATTATCTACTGAATTAAAGGATATCGTCCCATTGCTGCCAAGTCACTAACTTACTTTTTATTACTTCCGAGAAAAATGCGTCTAAAGATGAATTGCATTGCATAAAGATGTTATAGTTAGTAACTATTCGGTATTAAAATAAAACATAAAAGCTAGAAATCATAGTTAATGACTTTTGCAATCGATTCTCCGCTTCAAAACATAGTTAGTGATTGAATTTGGTTGTTCGGAAAAATGTTAGTTAGTGACTTTTGGCATCAATAGGACGATATTTAGTATTCCATTTAAAGAACTACAAATTTAGTGTAAATATAAGTTTTAATCATATTCCTGTATATAAAAAAATGTAATTTGGTTCAACTGTATATAGTTCATCCAATGAAAAAGTATATAAGCGTTCTCGAGTTCATGTAGGATTCTTTCGCTGGACAAACTATACACAGTACATTTACTATTTATTGAATCTATATATTGTTAATTTTCTTCTAGGAATAAACGAAAAAGCAGCATCGTTGATTAAGCTAACTAGCAATAAAGAAAAAGCCGATGGTATAGAAAACAACGTCAAATCTATAAACGATAGATACGAAAACCTACTGAGTGTCTCGCAAAATAACATTAAACAACTCGAAAACGGTTTGGAGTCCTACCAACAGTTCTATGACTTGTTGAAAGCCCAACAGGACTACCAAAAACAACTGTGGGACACTCTAAACTGTTACGTTGACTATACCGGAAACAAACCCATCATAGAACAGAGACTAGGCAAAGTTACTGGAATAGAAGAGAATTTGCCCGAAAGCAACATCAAATTAAGAGAGTTGGAAAACTATATCGAAAATAAAATATCAATTTTGCCCGCAAGAGCTCAAGAAACGATGCAAAGGGATGTTGCGAACCTCAAAGCCGATCAAGACAAATTCTACGCAACCCTGGTCGACGTAAAATCGTCACTAGAAAATAAACTTAAACAGTGGAACGATTACGAGAGTGCTATGGAGAGATTGTTGGCGTTTTTGAAGGACGCTGAAAATGATTTGAAAAATTACTCGTCGAAATCTACTGCTGAAGAAAAACAAGAACAACTGGAGAAGTATCAGGTAATAAAAATCTATCGATTTTTTATTATGATAGAAAAGTAGGTATTTTAAATTGAATATATTCTGTATAGTCGAATAAAAACGACATCAGAGTAAGCGCAGAAATTATATTTTAGTTCGATCTTTTCTTGATTTGAAGGTGTATGATTTCAGATGGGGGTTGAAAGCTTTGATGTTACAACAGCAAAATATAAGACTAATTCACTAAATACACTGCAATTCGCTAACTATGTTAGTATTATCATGAGATCGTTATAGGTTTTCACTCGCTTGGTTAATTTTGTCAAGCTTCGTTACTACCAACCGAGCGCCTATACCGGGTGCGTCTTAAAAGTGGGCCACCCTTATAGCTTTTTTATTTTTTTTACTTAAAAAACGAGATTTGGTGTGTTAGTATATGACATAAATTAGGATTGATTGACGTATTCAATTGTTTTTGGTCGCTTCCTATTTCACCGGAAATTACTACAACTTTCGATTTTTAAATGGCACCCTCTGGCTGTGTTAAGAACACTGTTTTTAAATAAAGGAGCCTTGGAAAAATAGATATGATCGTTTAATGTTTTTCGTGTCTTGTCCTGGCCGGTTAAAAAAATGCCTATTTTTAATCATACCTCAATTTTTTGAAATGGAAGAAGGGTGGCTTATTAGCATATTGTTTGGAAAACGAATTTTTTACGAATAATTTGGTGCCACACACTTATTGGTATTTAACTTCAAATTGTCGTTATGAACCGCATGTTACAATTTCAAGTAAACCATATGCAAAAATGTCAGAGTGTCATTTTCTATTGAATAAAGCAAAAAAAATACCGAGAGTGTCATTTAAAAATTAAAAGTTGTAGTCATTTCCGGTAAAACAGGAAGTGACCAAAAACAATTGAATACGTCAATTAATCCTAATTTATGTCATATACTAACATACCAAATCTGTTTTTTTATCTAAAAAAGTAAAATATATAAGGGTGAGCCACTTTTGAGATGTACCCGGTATAATCATAACGTTTGAAGAGATATAGGTCCCTTTTATTGTTGAACTTTTGGATTTTTTATAGCATATATACCGTGTGGTTCAAAAAAAACGTAAAAGACGGCTTGGGAACGAGAGAGGTCATAAAACGCTTAATTTGGAGATATTAGTTTAGTTTTAATCATCTGCTAATGGAAATTCTTAAAAATATATTTAAATGTAAAGTGTTTTCGTGTATTGTTGCAAATTAGTGTTTTATTTTGTTGGTGTATGATTTGTCATATTAATCAAAATTTTTATCTCTTTTAAGTAGAAATAAAGTTAAGTAAAAAAATTGTTGTTGGCTTTTTTGTAATTTTTTTTTTAATTGTTCTTTTAAATGCTGTTATAATGTACGTACTTATGTATGGTAGAATAAGGGGAAGTTGAAAGAGTGCAAATACAAAATTGTAGATTAGAAAAATCAAAAATACTCTAAATACAGACCGTAATACATAATTCTTTACAGAACACACTTGTGTTCAGTGTCTAGGTATATTTTGTTCCAGTTTCAGTGTTACCATATTCGATGTCAAACGCTGAAACAAAAATATGCTCCCGTAATTTCTTCCTATAATTTTCTGTAAAGTTCTTTACAGTGACAATATACAGAGAGATACAATATATAGTCTCTCTAACGAGAGAATATTTGACAGTTACTATTGTCTATCATTTTCATTCGAAAGTAAGTTGTATTTTCTAAAAATTTTTGGATATCGTCTCTTCTCTCGGTTTACAGAATTTATATAGTTTCCAAATACAACACAAGTATTTAGAACCTATTAATATATTTTGTACCACACTATTAATGTTTAACAAAGGACTGAAATAATCAATTATCACTTGTTACCGTCAATGTCAATTGTTTCAATCATTGAGTAGAATATACCCTGAAATATTATTTCTAGATTTACTCTGACATCGTCTTTATTACCGTCACACTATACAGTAATAAAAAGTAATTATAAAAATGATATTTTCTACAGATTTTATTAAAATCAGTCGATTCTTGTACCCAAGAGCTCAAGGAGTTCATTCGTATAGGAGATCATCTGGAGCAAGTAAGAACGAACCACATTTATATCTTTCTTCTGTTTCTTCTTTTATTATCTTCTGTTATTCACATTCTAAGGATAAGGGGCTTTATCTCATCATTACTTATACTTACGTCTATCACTTCTTTATTTTTGATGGTGGTCCTATGTTCTATGTTACACTGTGTATTGTTCTTCACATGTTTTTTCTTCCTTCAACAGCTTTTAGGTGGTGGCTTCAAACACTATCTTCTTGTTTCGGTGGCCTTCAAAACGTTTATAATGTAATTGAAGATTTTTAAACCTATTTTTTTATTTTAGGCTCTTCTTACTAGTTTACGACAAAACGAAACTGATTTTGATAATATATCTGATAATTCTACTGAACTGATTCAAAGCAGCGGTGATACCAGAATTTCGATCAATATTCAGCAAATTACATCAAGATTCCAATCGGTTCAAATCACCGCAAAGGAGATAGTTAAGAAATGCGAACAAGCATTGGCCGATCACAAAACTTACAATGATAAGTACAGGCAGTGTGCTGATTGGATATCTGCCGCCAGGACGAGGTAACTTGATTAATATTTTATATATAAATATATTTTTAATTGTTCTTAATGTTTAGGTTTGATTTGAGCGCTGAAAATATGAAGAATGGCGCACAAAATGTTCTCGTTGATCAGGCAAAAGTCCTTGAAGAACTTTTGTCCCAAAAAACCAGCGCATCTTTACTTCTGAATAATACAGTGGAGTTAGGTGAAAAAATATACCCTACCACTTCACCAGAAGGGCGAGAAATAATTTCAACTCAACTGGAAGAATTGCAACAGGCTTTTGAAACACTTTATGACGAGATTAGTTTGACAGATCGTGATTTGAAATCGAAATTGGACACATGGTCTGAATTCGACAACAGTTTACAAAACATTCAGCGCTGGTTTAAAGAAATTGACAAATTATTACCTCAGGACATTGAACTTAAAGCTACCTTGGATGAGAAGAAAAATCAACTGCAGGTCTATCGCAATCTACTGCACGATGTTTTGGCGCATCAACAAGATATAGTTGATTTGCGTGACAAAGTTGAGAATCTGCCAGAGAGAAATAGTCATATCGAAAGCAATATAGATGCGGTTTCAGAACAACACGCCAAAGTGTTAAAACGTGGGCAAAACTTCGTGGAAAGATACGAGAAAATAGTTAGCGATCATCAAAAATACGACAAAGCAGTTCAAGAAGCTAGTGAATGGACGGAAGCACGTGAAACCACTGTTAATTTATGGAGCGATACCAATTTAGAACGAGTATCTTTATTATCTAACTTGGAGAAACTTCAGGTAACTTAAATTATATCTTAATAAGAAAAGTTAACTAAATATTCTTTTTTACAGAAACTTGCATCCTCGTTACCAGAAGAAGAAACCAGAATTTTGGCAATTAAAACTTTAGGAGACGACGTAATACCTAACACTATAGACCACGGCCAATCTGCTATTCGAGCTCAAATTGAAACATCTCAACAAGAATGGGCTACACTTACGTCATCTGTTAACAATGCTATTGCCCAGCTTCAATCAAAATTACAAAACTGGTCAGAATACGAACGTTTGAAAGACGAATGCGTGGCATGGCTAAGAAAAACAGATAACAAATTACACTCGATAGACCTTAAAGCTACAGCTGATGAGAAGGAACGACAGTTAGGGTCTCTGAAAAACTTACAAGGAGAAATTAAAGCTAAGGAACTGGAAATTGATCAAGTTACTGAAAAACTACAACAACTCAACAAAGGACTGACAAACAGGCCATCGCAAATATCCGAATTAGGAGTTAAGTATCAACAAATCTGTCAAAAAGTTAAAGAGCTTACGTCCCGCTGGCAACAACATGTTAGCACACATCATCATTTTAACAGCGAGGTAGACCAGTGCCAGAGTTGGTTAGACGACCTCAACAAAAAATTGTCATATTGCGCAAACGTCAATACAGCTTCGCAGAAGGAACTTGAAGAGAAACTTCAAACTATCCAAGATCTTATTCTAAATAAAGAGGAAGGGTTTGCAACAATTCAGAAACTAGTCGAATTGGCTCAGACTGTTTTGGCTAATACTGCACCACAAGGTCACGATGCTATCAATCATACTTTAGCAAACCTACAAAGTGAATGGTCGAATATAGCCACGTCTATGATCGAGACAAAGTCCATCATTGAAGATGCTTTGAGAAAATGGACCGGACTTTTGGAAGAAATCAAAGCACTTGATAAAAAGATTGAGTATCTGGAAGCCCAATACAATGAATTGTCAGAGTTACAAGCCACAGCTTCCGAGAAGAAGACTCAGCTTGATAGAATAAAACTATTAGAAGAAAAAGTCCGATGTGAGAAAATAGAGGTTGACGCTCTGAAAGCTCAAGCTGCTGAAGTCCTGAAAAGTAAACAAGCTGAAAAAGGTGCGATCGAAGCCCAACAAATGTTAGAACGATTTGACGATATATTCCAGAAGATTCAAAAACTACTCCACCAAAGGGATCAGCATTATAAAGACCATAAAGCCTACAAAGAAGCTTACGAGGAGGTTCAAGTTTGGATGACGAGAGCTCAGGAAAAAGTGCCTCAGTTGAAGCAGAGGCCTTTAGGAGATAAGTTATCGATTGAGATGTTCTCGGGGCCTTTGGATCATTTGCTCAATAAACAAGCGCAAGGGGAGGTTTTGTTGGAGAATTTGGAACACACTGCGCAAGTTGTTATTCCGAACACAAGCTCACCGGGACAAGAAGCTATCAAGAATGAAATTAGAGCTTTGAGGGAAAGTTTCGAAAGATTATTCAAAGGTATGTGTATAATATAATATATTTATGCATCATCAGGTGTAAGTTCAACTTAATAATTGTTTATTTTATAATATATTTGAATGATATTTTATTACTAATAGAAAATGTAGTTTGATAAGCACGGTAGAATAATTACATATTTCTCTTTACGTTTTTTTTCAGATCTTAAGCAACAACGCGAACAACTTGAAGTTGTTTTAGTTCACTGGCGTGACTACAAAGACGAATACGAGAAGATATCCGATTGGCTTCAACAGATCTCCATTTTGATTAAAAACCAGAAGATTGCACTGTCATCAAACTTGGAGGAAAAACAAAAACAAGTAAAGGACGTTCAAGATATCCTAAAGAAACTTGTCGATGGAAAAGGCCAAATTGAGAAGCTGAACGACTCTGCCAAAATTCTTCTTAAATCTCCGTTAGAGACCCACGTTAATAATCAGCTTCAACAGCTAAACTCACGTTACCAGACCGAACTTAGTGTTGCAAAAGACGTACTGAAAAAAGTTGAAACAAACTACGAACAACATAAAGAATATGCAGGAAATCTAGAAAAAGCAAGGAATTGGATTGATAAGGCTCGAGATACAATTACGAATTGTTCAGAGGCTATATCCAATAGCAGCAAGGAAACGATGCAGCAAAACTTGAACGAAATTCAAGATCTTATCAGCAAGAGAGAAGAAGGTCAGAATTTGGTACACGCTACAGTGAATTGTGGTGAAAAAGTGATAAGAAACACTCGTTCTGATGGTAGAGAAGCCATTAGTAAAGAGATAAAAGAAGTTCAAAGCGATTGGGAAAGAATAGTTAAGAAAATGTCTACGGTGAAGGTAAATCTCGAAACAGCTTTACTCCAATGGGCGGATTACGACAGCTCATACAACCAACTACAACAGTGGATTACTGAACGCGAAGCAAAACTTCAACAAGTCACTGAACCCAAATCGACGAAAACCAAGAAAAGTCAAACTGGACTTAGTGCCTTACCCATTGGTGAAAGAAAAGCCACTCTCCGCGAAACCGGGAGCATTGTTCAAGATATTGTTTCGTTTGAGCCAATGATCCAATCAGTTGCCTCCAAAGCAGAAGACTTAAAACAAGCAGCTCCTGCATCTGAGATTTCTAGCAAATACGAGACTTTATCTAAACAAGCTCAGGAATTATACGCCAAACAAAAAGCTACGGTCGAACAGCATCAAGCATTTATAGATGCAGGAAATGAATTTGTCCAGTGGATTCGTCTGGCCAAGGAGAAACTAGGAAAGTGTTCGGAACCTACCGGCGACAAAGAATCCTTAGGCAGTAAGTTATCTCAAGTTAAAGTTCTGCACAACGAACTTCCAACTGGACAGAAGAAATTAGAAAACGCCTTGGAAGAAAGCGAAAAAGCTTGTCAAGTAGCCGATGAAATCGATAGAGAGATTATCGAGGAAGAAGTTGCTTTGTTACAAGAAGAATTCGACAGCTATGTAGAGCAGCTAAATGGAATAAAGAACTTACTAGAAACTGGAATAGTTAAATGGACGGAATACGAAGAACAATTCCAAGATGCATTGGAATGGTTGACGCAACAAGAGAAGTTGGTCCAATCGTATAACAAACTTCAAGATAGCTTAGAAGCCAAGCGAGCTGTACTGGAACAATTCCAATTACACCTCCAAACCTTATTTGACTGGCAGTCTGAATTAGACAGACTTAACATGAAAGCTCAGTTATTACTAGAAACCTGTGCCGATTCTCGTGTTAGTAATGCAATTATGCAACTTTCCACCAAATATAACGCAATATTATCTATGGCCAAGGAAATTATGCGTAGGTTAGAACTCTATTATCAAGAACACCAACAACACAGCGCCCTTTACCAAGAATGTCAAGACTGGATAGATAGAACAAGGGATAAACTTAACAGCTGTGTAGAAATACCGAATAGTTTATCAGAAATTAATAATAAGCTTCAAGTTGTAAAGAACATTAGGACATCAATCGAACAAGGTCAAAATAAATTACGTTATATCAACGAACTGAAAGAACGGGTCATTATGAATACGGAACAGTCTGGAGTAGCTAAAATCCAGGAAGATACAGAAAACCTCAAAACCGATATGGAAAAACTAATTAACGATGTTCAAGAAATCAAAAACAAACTTCAGACTAGAGCCAATCAACTTGAGGAAGCTCAGAAACTTCTCGGTCAGTTCTTGGATTGGTTAAAAGACCAAGAGAACCAAATCCAATTTGAAGATCAGTTCTTTAATGAACTCCCCGAAAAGAAAGCCACGCTTGAAAAATATAAGCAAGTTCAAAAAGAGATCGGTACTCACAACGCGCTCTTGGAAAAATTGAAAGCGACGGCTAAAGAAAACAATAGCATTCCTGAAGATGAGATTGAGAGAGTGGTGAAAAGATTTGAAGATTTGAAAGACAAACTAAACAAAACTGTATCAGATTTGGAGATTCAAGTGGAAGAGCACGAACAATATAAAACATCGTATAATAAAGCTATAGATTGGATCAGAAAACTTCAACTGGAAGTCCAAGCTTGCTCAAATCTTCAGGACGAATTACCACAGATTATCGAGAAGGAAACCAAAATTGAACAAATATTTAATACTTTATCAGAGTGTGATGATTTGGTAAATAAGGTTATTAAAATGAGCATCAACGTCATGAAAACTACTGGCGATGAGGGTAAAGATATTATAAGAGAAGAAATCGAACAACTCAACACTGACTGGGAAGGACTTCAGTACATTTGCAATGAAATAAGAAAATCTCTAGCTAAATGCAAAGACGCCTGGAAAGATTTTAAGGCAAATTGCGATGCAACCGATAAGAATATCGCACAGTTCCAAAAGAGTGTGGAAGAAGAACAAAAGCTTGAAAACAAACGACCAGAAGATCTGGATAGGTGCAAAAACTTACTTGCTCAAATCGAAGGATTAAAACCCGATTTAGAGAATCTAGCTGACTCCTGTGAATTACTCATGGAACTCAGTGCAGTGGGTTGGGTACGAGACAAGACCGTTCAATTACAATCAGCTTACACTAACTTATTGACAGATGCACAGAGTTTGGTATCTAAGGTCGAAAAGAATTTATCTGATCACACGGACTTTATCAAAGCAAGAGACGAATTAGAAAACTGGTTAAACTCCAAGCACGCTGTTGTACAAGATTCTATAGTAATCGGCAGTGAAGCAGAAATGAGAAATAAATTGGGAGTTGTCCAGGATGTTATAGCAAACTTAGACGAAGGACAAAAATTGCTATCTTCACTTCAAGAAGCGTTTTCTAAGGTCATAAACACTGCTACTTCGGAAAAACAGAATGAACTACGTGACACCATGACAACATTGAGAAATAGTTGGGACCAACTCAACATGGACCTTAAATCTATCGAAACGCAGCTTAAAGGTGGATTGTCGCGATGGGACGAATATAATGATACTAAGAAGAAATTAGAAAAGTGGTTAACAGGTGTCGAAAAAACTGTCCGTGCACAACCTAACACAAAAGGAGAATTAAGCGAAATAAAGATATTTTTAGAAAGATACAAGAACTTACATGACGAGATTTTGAAGAAGCAGGAAGATTTGAATCGTCTGAGCAATGAGGCAAAAGAACTGAACAATTGGTCTAAGAATACTGAGGTTATAGATCAAGTCCAACAACTGGAGACACGATTTGAGAATGTTAAATCCTCATGTAAGTCTTTACAAGATTCAATTGAGCAGGAACTGGAAGACTACAATATATATCAGCAAAAATTGCAAGAAACTGAAAAGTGGCTGTTGCAAGTATCCTTCCAACTCATGGCACATAATTCTCTTTACATCACAAACAGAGAACAGACTGAAGAACAAATTACCCAGCACGAAATACTCTTGCAAGAAATTCAAAAATACCAATCTGTAATCGATGATGTAAAGGATAAAGGGCAAAAACAGATTAATAAGTACGTTACCACAGCCCCTACAGTAAGGAATACTATCGAGAAGCAACTAAATAACGTACAAGATAGCTACAATTCTTTGTTACAAACTGCCTTACAAATCAAGAACAGACTCGATGATTCCCTGGCTAAATTCAAGCAATACGAAGATACGTTGGAGAGCATCATGGAGAATCTGGATGAATATGAACCTATCGTAAATGATGAATTAGATAAATCCATTGAAAATCTCAAAGAAGCAAATGAGTCTTTAGAAACTGCAAAGGTAAATGGTGTATGTTTCTTGTAAGAACTTTTCCTGTAAGTTGTTTTTTTTTATTTCAGACTCTTCATAGTAAGTTACAAACAGAGAAATCTAGATTAGCATTAGCAGTACAAGCTTGTGAAGCCGCCACAGCTTCCATAAGCAGACCCAGCAGTCCAAGAGATAGTGTTCCACCTCCAATTAACATTAAAGAGTTAGAATGCAGAGCAAGACTAGAAGACTTAATCGATCAGGTATGTAAAATATTTTTTATATAATTTTAATTTTAGTTTTGCAGTTTGTTTAACAGTTTAAATGCACTTTATTGTGATTTGTTGTTAGTTTTTTTTTAATAATAGCTAATAGCACCTGCAATGCTTGTAATAAATTTTTATTTTATTAATATTTTGCACTGCAAATTGCTTTTACATAGACGCACAAGGAGTCGGCAACTTCAGAAGAATCTGATATCAGGTTGAAATTGCTTTTGGATCAACTTGTGAGCAAAAATTTTGTTTCTAAATTGGATACCCAGATCGAAAAGGTGAGTAACTTTGGAAACAAAAATAGTCCCACATTATTTTATTATTACGAATTATAAATGAAGCTATTTATACAGGGTGCTACAAATTTGAGGGACGAGCATTGGTATCTCGGAAACCGTAATAGATACGTTGGTTAAATTGGGGCAGAGTTGCAATATGGGATGTCAGCCAACATGATTCAAAAATTCAAGGATTGCTGAGTTATTTGAAAAAAAAAACGATTTTTTTTGGAAAAAGAACGATTTTCTTTTTTCCTGTCGTTACTTTAGAAAATCGAAAAACGTTAGGCTAAACCTTGGCCCAAAGACGATTTATTTCCCATTTAAATTACATGGGAATTTGCCACTTTGTGTAAATATTTTTTTTTCTCTCGATTTTGTTCTCTAGTAGCCAACGTAGAAAAACGTTAGGCTAAACCTTGGCCCAAAGACGATTTATTTCCCATTTAAATTACATGGGAATTTGCCACTTTGTGTAAATATTTTTTTACTCTCGATTTTGTTCTCTTGTAGCCATGACAATTACACATTCTTATACAGAATTGAACGCTCTACAAAAAAAGTCTCTTACAATTTTGCGATAAACCTACTCCTTCAAAAGTTATTCACGGTTAAATTTAACCACTCTGCAAATTCCTAGATTATTCAACTTTTTTGACAAACTTATGATTATTTTTGAAAAATTTAATCTATTACTCTAAAAATATACAATTCTGATGGTGCTAAGGTTGGGAATTAAGAAATCTTCAAGCCCAATGAAGTTTACACCATTTAAGCTGATTTAAATCATACTTAAGTATAGATGATTTATTTTAATAAACATTGTTTATTAAAATAAATCAGCCATACTTAAATGGTAGGAATAACTTTTGAAGGAGTAGGTTTATCAAAAAATTGTAAGAGACCTTTTTGTAGAGCGTTCAATTCATTACAAGAATATCTGATTGTCATGGCTGCGAGAGAACAAGATCAAGAGAAAAAAAATATTTGCAAAAAGTATGAGGCATCTTGGTGGCGCACATTTGCCCCAATTTAACCATGTTCGTATCTATTACGGTTTTCAAGATACCAATGCTCGTACCTCGAATTTGAAACACACTGTATACATTTACATACAACATAGATTTAGGTAAGCGACTATGAGTGTGCATTTTGAGTGACTATTTTAATGTGCAGAAGTATTTTTGGCTTGTATCTTTTTTCTCTTAATATTACATTTTTATTCAGTGAATGTTATATTTACAATTAATTTCTTTTAGGTACAAGGACATCTCAGCTATTTGACATCCACTGTGTCCGAATTTGAAGAGAAAGAAAAACAGAAATCCGTTCTCAGAGACTGGATTGAGACACAGAAGGGCATTGTAAAAGAGTGGAAGAGTCGCCCAATCAAATTGCGTGCGGATGCTGCCAAACAGGAACTGAACAACATGAACGAACTTCTAGCTACAATTGGGCAACGCAGGAATTACCTTACTACTGATCTCTCCGGGCCTAGTGGACCTGATGTTGAACTGAACTCTCTGTTGGATAGTTTAGAAAAAGAATTACTATCTGTAATCGCTGACAAGCAAGATAAGCAGGGCATTCTTGACCAATACAAGCAACAACTTCAGGCAATCAACAATTGGTTTGACACTCTCAACAAACGTATCGATGCAGTTGATAAAGGATCTGGTTTGAATTGTCAACAAAAACAAAATGCTATTAGCAATATACAGACAGAATTCGATGAGGAAGGTACAAAGAAGTTAACTGATTTTAAACTGTTAGCATCAAAAGTCACCGATATACTCAACAACCTCGATTCTCAACAGATCGAAGAACAAATAAAATCAGTTGATAGACGTTATAATGATATCGTAAAGAAACTTCAAAGAAAGAACCAAGTTCTAGAGATGACTAGAAAAGGTATTGATGACACTCAAAATGAAATTGACGAAGCCCGAAGTTGGGTAAAAGAAAAACTAAACAATCTGCAGAATCCCAGACCTTTGAATTTAGAAAGCGCTAAAGTAGACGAAAGATTGAACGCTTTAAAAGATCTTTTGAAAGACGCTGAAAATAAACTTATTCTAAAAGACACTATATCCAAGAGAATTAATAATTTGTCCAATGAATTGGAACTCTCTGAACATGCTCAGTTGGAAAGCTCTTTGAAGAATTTGGGAGGTGAACAACAAGTGTTGGTGGAAAAAATTAAACAAGAAATTGACAGACTTACAGCTGCAGCTAACGCACGAAGAGACTTTGAAAATAATTTGTCTAAAGCAAAGGCATGGTTGAAGAACAAAAACGCCGAAGTTAGTAAACTCAGTGGCTACCTTCCTCTCCAAGCCAATCAGGTAGAAAAGGAAATCGCACAGCACAAAGTATACGATCAGCAAATTAAAGAATTTAACGAAGGAAATCTCAACGAGCTTCTCCAACTTGGAAACACCATTCTCAAAGATTGCGATGCAACAGATCGCGAACGCCTTCAGCATCTTATCGATGAAGTTAAAGACGAATACAACGTCCTAACCCAGGAATCTAAACACAAACTGGACGCACTAACCGACTTACTTCAAGGCCGTAAACAATTTGAAAGTGATATTGACAAGTGCGTGAACTGGTTAAAAGAGGCCGAAGTTGCAACATCTACGGATATTAGAATAACTAGTTTGGAAGTGCTCGAGGAACAGTTAGCCAAATACGAAAAACTCGTAGAGGATTCTAAACGAGTGGAAGATGATATTGGAAAGATTTCAGAACAAGCTAAAGCTATATTGCCAACTATCAGCGAATCTGATAAAATTACGCTTAAAGAAACTTTGAATAACTTGAAAGATCGTCACAGCAGAATCGATTCTGTGATTAAAGAAAGAACGGCAGATTTGAAACGAAACATTCAGCAAATTAAAGATGCTCAAGCTCGTCTAGCTGAAAGTATAGCGTTTGTGAAGGAAGTTCAGAACCAGTTACACGATCTAAACAAACCTATTGGTGCTAGAGTCGAAGATGTTCAAAACGTACTCTCTGCTTACGAGAGGATTCTGAAAGATGTTAAAGCGGATAGATCCAAGCTGGGAAACGTTACTGGAGCTAACGCTACTGAACTACAAAGTGTGTTAAATATGCAAGACGAACTGATTAAATCTATTGAAGACCAGATAGCTAAATTGAAACAGCTTTTACTTTTGAGAGAACAGTATCTGGCTCTTATTACGGAAATAATGACCTTTATAACTAAATATACTGAAATCGTAAGAGATATCGAAAAGTCTGGAGGAACTATTGAAGAAAAGATTAAGAAATATGACGATATTATAATAAAAATACAGGAATGCGAGGCATTACATGCTGCAGCCACCGATAAAGGTCTTCAAATTGCACAGGATTGTACTGTACAAGACAGAAATGAGATAACCGAGCAGTTACAATCTCTAAAACAGTCTTTAAATAATTTGAGAAAGGCTGTTGAGAAACAAAGACAAGAACATGAAAATACTGCTGCAGAATATAAGAAACTAGCTGCCGAATTGGAGGATATCCTTGACTGGTTGCATACAAATGAAAGCACAATAAAATCCAGACCTTTATTGAACAGAGATGTTGAGAGTGTGCTGAAAGAAATTCAGAAACACGACGAACTAGCTGCTAATGTGGATTTGAAATTGGAGAAGCTAAGAAAAATAAAGGAAGAAGTTAAAAACGATGAGAACTTACCAGGATCACTTCAGGAACAACTTTCTGAAGCCACTTCTTTGATCAACTCCCTCCCGAGAGAGTTAGACGAACAATCAAAATACCTTGAGGATAATAAGAGATGGAGAGATGAATATAACGCCTTAAAAGAAAAACTATATAACTGGGTTAAAGAGGCTCAAATTCGCTTGGATGTTCACAAAGACGGAATTGACTTTGAAAACATCCTCACTGATTTGGAAGAGCACAAAATCTTCTTCAGCACAGAACCCGCAATGAAAGAACTTGTCTCGCATTCACTACAACAAGCAGCTGACAAAATATGGCCCAGTCTCACGCCTTACGAACAAGAAGAGCTGAGCAGAGAGCAACAGCATCACACTCAAGTTTTGAAGAACACATTGAATTCGGCCAAGTCTCAGAAGGTATCTCTGGAGCAGAACGCGGAGTTGTGGAAGAAGTATTTGCAGAGTTTGGATAAAGTTAAGGCGGTTATCGCTAGGACAAAATTCACTGATGAACCAGTGTCTAATTTGGCAGGTCTTCAGTTCAACATCCAGAAAATCAACCATGCCTTGAGTGACATACAGGTAAGTTTTTTTTATATTTATGTTGGTAAAATTTTATAGAGAGTGATCTTTGAAAGTGATAAATACCATATAATTTAGTAATTCGATCGTCGATATACAGAGTGTCCCAGTACTCCGTGGACATAGAACTACTACGTATTTTTGGAATTAAAATAAGTTTATTGGATATAATTTACCTCTTTACAAAAGTGCTTCGTTTTTCCGTTAGGGGGCATCAAACTTTAAAAAAGTAAACACGTTATTTCAAATATTTTAAGAACCGTTATTCCGATTTATATTTTGCTAAGTGCTTTGACCTTTGACTTTTACAGAAATCAAGAAAAAGTACGGGAAGGGCTAAAACTACCCCACTCCTACATAAATTTTAGTAAAATATTTTATAAATAAATAAATAAATAACGCTTTATTGTACAAAAAGCCAAAATAGCTTCATCGACAAAGCATTTACAAAACAAACAAAGTTATAAAATATTAAATACTAGACTTTTAACCAGTGTGTGAGATGATCAAAATTTTAAAATTCAAAATTGTTCATGATTAAATATCAACAAAAAAGTCGTTTACCGCATATATACCGCTCTCCAGTAAGTATGATTTCAGAGCTTTGCGAAATGCGGGAAAGAATGAAAGTGATTTGATATTCAAAGGCAGATGATTGTACATTTTTTTTGCCATTGTACAGTATTGAGCCTTTAACTAGTTCTAAACTCGGGGTTGGCAGATAAAGATCGTGCTCTGGCATTCCTAAGTGGATAGTTGTGAGATGGCCTTTCGGGAATAGCAGATATGTGCTTGCGGATGAAGCAAACGCGTTCAAAAATGAATAAAGAAGGAAGAGTCAGTATTTTGAAATTTTTAAAGAAATTCTGGCAGTGAGTTCTACTGTTCAGTCCCAATAAATATCGAACTGCTCTCTTTTGAAGTTTGAAAATACGATCAAATTTTGTTGCGCAGCATGTACCCCGGAATGAAAGGGCATAACGAAGATGTGACTCAAAAAGACCATAATAGACTATTCTAGAGATTGATAAGTTAAGTTCCTTAGAAACTGATCTTAGCGCAAAACAGGCAGCGCTTAGTTTCTTTGATAAAGCTTCGATGTACAAGTCCCATTTTAATTTGACTAAAGTCTGGAAAAATTTAGATTGCTGAGAAACAGTGACAAAAATACTTTTTTAACAGTCCCCGTAGACAATTGCATTGCTATAAATAATGAACAGCAACAATATAGGTATATTATATCTTCAGGTCATTTAGTTAATGTTGCTTTGTAATTGTTTACTATTCAAAACTAAAAAATAGGAACAACTAAAAATTTTATTGGAATATTAATATAGTTCAATGTTTGTTTACTTTAATGGGTGTTTTGAAGGTCACATTCTATTTTCATTTGTGCAAAATTACGTATATTATTTGTTATTTTATGCGATCTTGTATTTATTATTTTTAGAAAGTCGTAATCGTCGATATCGATTCTATATTTACATTAAATTTTTCGCAATATTTTTCATGCTAAATTAATAAACAAATATTGATTTCTGATATTGATTTTAATGTTTAAATTTAAAAATGATTTCTGCACTTCAAGTAGCGATAGTTTTGCATATTTTAAGTAATCGCGAATTACAAAGACTCTATTTTTAAACAAACACCACACTTTACATATGTATAAATGTGTTGTTTAAATACTGTTTCTTAAATATTTTTGGACCAGACGCCACTGATCAACTATAATTTCGCAAAAAGAGGCATTTGTCAATATTTTTAAATAAATAACTTCGTAGTAGAACTCCAAATTGATAAAAATTAAATGAAAATGCCACAGTGTGTTTTAATTCATAAATAATAATTTTTTCATACTTAATTTTTCATACCCTGCATACAATGTGTTTACGATGAGTGGAAAATTAAATTAGTTAATACTAGCCTTATAAATGTCCTGAAATTTTATCTTATGCTTAATGTTACCTACATGTGTCATTTAAAAAAAAAGTTCAATAAGAGAATCAGTTGAAATGACTGAGAGAACTTGTTAATTCATTTTATTAACAATAATTAATGAGTAATTACTTGGATATGTATGTTAAAAATAAATGTTAGGTGACATATAAAACATTTATTATTCGAAATCTAGAATTATGTGCAATTAATAATGTAAATATTTATTAATAGTAACTAACATTAAATATATTTTTTATATATAAATAGGTAACTAGATTATTACATGACCTATCATTAATGACTCGCAGCCATTATCCCAAAAATAGCTCAAGGTCTTACATTAATTTTACACATTTTTTCATTGTAATCGTTTCAAGTTTCATGTTTTTTCTACGTTTGGACAGGCCTCGTATTTTTGATTTTTTTTTTTCAGAAAATAAAGCATACGAGAATATGGGAATTCTGTTAAAATTATTAAGTTAATTAGATAATTAGTAATTATCTTATTTTACAATAATTTTATTTCATTGATTCTTTTATTAATTTTCGTTATGTTCCTGTTTTCTGTTTCTAAAACTATTTGTTGTTTTTTAATTTTTTTTAGTATTTTTCTGTTTTTTTTTGTTATTCTCTATTTCATAAAACGTAGTTATCCGTTAATGTTTAATATATTAATATATTTTATTCGAAGACATAATACGCTTTGTATGATAAAAATCATGAAGATGTTACTCTATCGCCTGGGCTCAAAGACAGTCAATACGTATATCTATGGTCAATATGCATCATGGTCCGTTATCTAAAATATTCTTTTAATTATAATTATATTTATTGTTTCTGCTGTATTACTATTTAGTAAATACATTTTACAAGCAACTAAATATAATGTTATACCGTATGATCGAGAAAAAACGGCGTCAGCGATGGCTATGGAATGAAGATCGCTGTCATTTTAAATGTAAATTTATATGGGAAATGTCATTGATGTTCATTTCCCAGCCAACTGGACGCCGTTTTTTTTCGATCATACGGTATATAAACTGCGAAAAAAAAACCTTTTAAATAGCTTTAGTTAAATTCGACTCTGTTTTTACTCTTATTTTGATTGAAAATTTATCTTATTTTGATTGAAAAATTCAATCTTCACTCCTTAACTGCTTCTTATGTTATATTGGAAAAAGTGGCATCTAAAGAACTATAATAGTAGAAATGTTACCATATTTTACCAAATACTCGTAAAAAAGGACAATTAATTGAATTCAAAATAAAATAAACAAATATTTATTTTTTATTTTCGTTGTTATTCAACTTTTGCATTGATCTAGTAAACGTTGTGTACTTGTTACTTGTTCTTGAAACTTAAGGCCAATGCTATGTAAATGCCTAATAAAATACTTCCATAATAGTATATTGAAATTGTTGTACAACAATTGATTATTTCTAAAGAAACTAAAGATGGAGAAATTATATTTAACTAAAAAATTGTAAAACAAAATTTTCTTTGTCAAGCATTATTTAACTTTACAAAAATTATTGTTTATTTTATGTCTCACATTCTGTAGATTTACTAAATAATAAATATACATCAATACAAAGATTTTGTTCCAAAGGTTATTTTTACCATGTACATATTTATTATTTTTTTAGTCAAATACAAATCTAAATAAAAATACTAGTCAAACTACATATTTTCTCATGACAGCAAAAAAATCTAAGTATTTTTAGGACTTTAAAATGTTTTTTGTAAAATTATACATCTGTTCTTTCTTTTCGCATATACAATATTTCTTGCGTACTTTTTTAGCATTTTGTCTTGTTTTTTATTTTTTGTTTATTCAAAATTTATTTTTATTTTCTAATTCTTAATTTATTTATATAAATATGAAAGTAAAAACATATTAAAACAATTTAACGAATTTGTACATTGCTTTCGTTTTATTTTGTCCCACTTTTAAATGACTATAACTTTTTTATTTTTGGAGATAGAACATTTATTAAAAAAACAAATTCTATGGTTCTTATTCAAGTTTTACAGCTTATTAGCAAAAATGTCATATGCTGTCAAATGTCATAGATATTTGTATAAAGGGGTGTTTAGACCCTCAGATAATTTGCGCAAATTGACTTAATAAAATAAACCGTAAAATGTAAACAGAAATCGTTAGTTTCTGCAGTTCAAAAATTTGGCTTGAGTAAAATCTGTCTTGTCTTGATTTCTAACTGAGGTTAGCGCAGATATATACAGGGTGTTTCAAAACAAATGCGAAAAACTTCAAGGGGTGATTCCTTGATCAAAATAAAGGGTAGTTTGCTTTATAAACGTTGGGTCAAAAGTCAATCATTAGGGAGATATCGCGGTACAAAGATGGCGGAAAAATAATGTTTTTATTTTTTGTCTTGAAAACGAACAGCGATAGACTAATGAAATTTTATAGAAGCATTCCTGTTATGAAAACACACTTTCTGGTAATTTTCTCACTTTTTTAAAATGAGTGGAAGGGATTGAAATAAACTACCCCTCTCATTCTTGTTAACGAAATTTTAAAAAAAATCTTATCAAACACATGTAAAAAAATTAATTTGGATAGTTTAGTTTCTTTAGAAACTTTTTTATCTCTTGTTTTTTTTTTTATAAAACTCACCGATTTGAAATTAAAAAATAAAATGTAAAGCATTACATGTCCGGACAAAAAAACATTTTTAGATAAAGAATATAGTGGGCTGCTGCAATTTTTTTAGGAAAAAATCTAGTCGGCCACTGTCACTTTTTAGGAGGTTTCTAATATTATTTTATTTTACATTACTCTACTGCAATACGTTATTATCTTACGATCAATTAATTTTATTCCGAAGCCTTTTTATAATCTATTTAATTGCGTAAAAAAAGAAGAAGTTTTAATGTAATGTTTTATATTTAATTTTTTTAATTTCAAAGCGGTGAGTTTTATCAAAAAAACACAAGAGATAAAAAAGTTTCTAAGTAAAATGAACTATCCAAATTAATTTTTTTGCATGTGTTTGATAAGATTTTTTTTTAAATTTCGTTAACAACAATGATA